GCCTGGGGGGCAATTGCCTCCCTGCCCCCCGGCCCAGCCCGCCCCTGACTATACCCCACTCCCTCTAGCATGTAAGCTCATGCCCTCAACCCCTCTGTTCCTGTGCTTCCATTTGTCTGGTTACAATTACGTGTCTGTTAGTCCATCCATTGTACAGCGCTACAGAATTTTGCTGGCGCTATGTAAATAATAAAATAATAAGAATAATTTTGTGTATGTCTATGTGTGTCGGGGTATCAGTGTTTGTATTTATGTGTCTGTGTATTTGCATGTGTGTCAGTGTGTGTCTCTGGATATGTGTGGAAGTGTATACACTGCACACAAATGCACATCTGTATTCAAACACCAACATTCACACACATACTCCATACAAAATATGCTTACATTCAAACACACATTGTGTATATGTATATTTTATATACACACACTGCATCCACTGCACACACACTGCATCCACTACCCACACACTGCAATCAAACGCAAACATTACATACAAACACACCCCTGTATTAAAACACTAAAATAATACACACCCCTTCATTCAAACATCAACACTACATACAAACACCCCTATATTCAGATGCAAGCATTACACACAAGTACACCACTACATTACAATGGCAACAGTACATAAAAATACACCCATACATGCACACATATACTTTATACAAAAACATGCTTACAAACGCTCAAACACGGCTCACAAATATAACCCTGCAACGATGGGCAAATGGTAGATTCCCAGCTGGCATAGCTCAGACAAATGGGGATCTACCTTTTTGGCCACACTTGCACTAGAGGGGGGCCAGAAAACATACTTGCACCAGGGCCCTCTCTACATTAGTTCCTCCACTGAGACAATCAATGTGAGATGCCTGGATGAAAGAGCACGACACGGCACTTCTGATTCTGACTGAGTTTGTTAAATTAAATTATTAAATTATGCCTCTAAAACTGCCATGATTTCCCAGAATTATGCCTCTAAAACTGCCATGAATTATGCATCTAAAACTGATTGCCATAGTGTGCCAATTGTATGCATCTAAAGCTGATTGACCTGGTGTGCCAATTATATGCCTCTAAAGCTGCCATGTGCCAACTTTATGAATCTAAGACTGTTTGCCATGGTGTGCCAATTGTATGCTTTTAAAACTGGTTGCCATGGTGTGCCGATTTTATGCATCTAAGACTGATTGCCATGGTGTGCCAATTTTATGCATCTAAGACTGATTGCCATGGTGTGCCAATTTTATGCATCTAAGACTGACTGCCATGGTATGCCAAGTTTATGCATCTAAGACTGATTGCCACGGTGTGCCAATTTTATGCAGCTAAGACGTTACATATGACATCATTCCGGCCCCCGGCATACCAAACTGGACCCAGGGGAGGTAGGGAGGCTGGATGTCTGAGTTTGTGTCTCAGTGAGTGTGTGAGTGTTTGACTGTCAGTGAGTGTGTGTATGTCTGTCTGTCAGTGAGTGTCTGCCTTTGTGTGTATGTGTGTGTGTCTGTCAGTGAGTGTGTGAGTGAGTGTTTGACTGTCAGTGAGTGTGTGCCTGTGTGTGTGTGTGTTTGTCTGTCAGTAAGTGTATGTATGTCAGTGAGTGCCTGCCTGTGTGTGTGTGTGTCTGTCAGTGAGTTTCTGCCTTTGTGTGTGCCTCTATCTGTCAGTGAGTGTGTGAGTGTTTGACTGTCAGTGTATGTTTGTTAGTGAGTGTCTGCCTGTGTGTGTGTGTGTATCTGTCTGTCTGTCAGTGAATGAGTGTATGTATGTGAGTGTCTGTGTGTGTGTGTCTGTCTGTCAGTGAATGAGTGCATGTATGTCAATTAGTATCTGTGTGCGTGTGTGTCTGTCAGTGAGTGAGTGTAGGTATGTCAGTGAGTGTCTGTCAGTGAATGAGTGTGTGTCTGTCAGTGAGTGTCTGTGTGTGTGTCTGTCAATGAGTGTTTGACTACCAGTGAGTGTCTGTCTGTGTCTGTCAGTGAGTGAGTGAGTCTATGTCTGTTAGTGAGTGTCTGGTGTGTATGTCTGTCAGTGAGTGAGTGTATGTCTGTCTGTCAATGAGTGGGTGTATGTCTGTCAGTAAGTGTCTGTGTGTGTGTCTGCCAGTGAGTGAGTGTATGTCTGTTAGTGAGTTTCTGTGTGTATGTGTGTGTGTCAGTGAGTGAGTATGTGCATGTCAGTGAGTGAGTGTGTGTCTGCCAGTGTCTCTGCTAGGCAAAATTGATCTTTGCCTAGGGCGGCAGAAATCCTTGCACTGGCCCTGAGTGTGCATATAGCTATATTTACCTATGATAGTACTTGCAAGTTTTTGTCAATTTAGAGTTATTCTATAAGCATTTTTTTGTTGTTTTAATTATTCTATTGTCTCTCTCTTCTACTCTGCCTAGGCTAAACTTAGGTCAACTTAAAAAAACCCTACAGGTTACTCATTTGATATTTTACATATACAGATATGTTATGTCATCTGTTTATAATAACTATTGTTTATGCTTTTCACCTCAAGCCGATGATTGATGTAACACTGTTATCCTTTTATATTCAAATCATACTATGGATGAGTTGTATTTTTGAGTGAAAAACCCCAATAAAATACAAATTAACAGAAAAAAAACGAATTAGAACGAGCACCCAATAATGAATGGCCTTTATTGATGCTGATTCAGTGATTTTGTATGTAGTTAAAATTTTTGTCATTGTTTAATTGTTATTTTTTTAAATTAACCAAAATTGAATCAATGTTTTTATATACATCATGTTCCAAATTATTATGTAAATTCTATTTAAGTGTCACAAAGATTAAATATTTAGTTTTTCAGTTTAACTCATGAATGGCATTGTGTCTCAGGGCTCTTTTAATCACTGAAAACAATCTCGGACACCTGTGATAATTAGATTGCCGGGTGAGCCCAATTTAAGGAAAAACTACTAAAGGAGGGTGTTCCACATTATTAAGCAGAGCACCATCTTCATGCAATATGGAGAAGAAAAAGGATCTCTCTGCTGCCGAAAAGAGTGAAATAGTTCAATGCCTTGGATGAGGTATGAAAACATTAGATATTTCACAAAAACTGAAGCGTGATCATCGAACTATTAAGAGATTTGTGGCTGATTCAGAGCACAGACGGGTTTGTGCAGATAAAGGCACATTGAGGAAGATTTCTGCCAGATCCATGCATCAGATCAAGAGAGCAGCTGCTAAAATACCATTACATAGCAGCAAACCATAGAAACCATAGAAACATAGAATGTGACGGCAGGTAAGAACCATTCTGCCCATCTAGTCTGCCCAATTTTCTAAATACTTTCATTAGTCCCTGGCCTCATCTTATAGTTAGGATAGCCTTATACCTATCCCATGCATGCTTAAACTCCTTTACTCTATTAGTCTCTACCACATCAGCTGGAAGGCTATTCCATACATCCACTACCCTCTCAGTAAAGTAATACTTCCTGATATTATTTTTAAACCTTTGTCCCTCTAATTTAAAACTATGTCCTCTTGTTGTGGTAGTTTTTCTTCTTTTAAATATAGTCTCCTCCTTTACTGTGTTGATTCCCTTTATATATTAAAATGTTTCTATCATATCCCCCCTGTCTCGTCTTTCCTCCAAGCCGTACATGTTAAGATCCTTTAACCTTTTCTGGTAAGTTTTATCCTGCAATCCATGAACCAGTTTAATAGCCCTTCTCTGAACTCTCTTTAAGGTATCAATATCCTTCTGAAGATACGGTCTCCAAGTGATGTTCTGTACAATGGCATGAGCACTTCCCTCTTTCTACTGCTAATACCTCCCCCTATACAACCAAGCATTCTGCTAGCATTTCCTGCTGTTCTATTACATTGCCTGCCTACCTTTAAGTCTTCAGAAATAATCACTCCTAAATCCCTTTCCTCAGATGTTGAGGTTAGGACTCTATCAAATATTTTGTACTCTGCCCTTGGGTTTTTACATCCAAGATGCATTATCTTGAACTTATCTACATTAAATGTCAGTTGCCACAATTCTGACAATTTTTCTAGTTTACCTAAATCATTTGCCATTTGGCTTATCCCTCCTGGAACATCAACCCTGTTACATATCTTAGTATCATCAGCAAAAAGACATACCTTACCATCAAGACCTTCTGCAATATCACTAATAAAAATATTAAAGAGAATGGGTCCAAGTACAGATCCCTGAGGTACCCCACTGGTGACAAGTCCAAGCTTCGAATATATTCCATTGACTACAACCCTCTGTTGCCTTTCACTCAGCCACTGCCTTACCCATTCAACAATATTGGAATCCAAACTTAAAGATTGCAGTTTATTGATAAGCCTTCTATGTGCAACTCCGTCCAGATTAGCTAGAATGTATGATTCCTATGACCCTACTTGCTGGAGATGTGGTAGTCATCCAGGTACATATATTCATATTTGGTGGTCATGCCCCATTGTTAGACCCTTATGGTCTTGGGCTTTTAATATTTTTACGACTATGACTGCCAATAGAATTACGGAAAATGCTGTTTCTGCTCTTCTGCATCTTAATTGGAAACTTAAATTACAAAAAGATATTTGTTTTGCCACTCATTGTTTAGTTGCTGTTAAAATTATTATTGCGAGACACTGGAAATCATCAAAGCCGTTCCATAAACGGTTACCGATTAATCAAATTATGTTTCAAATTTCGATGGAATATAAGCTGATTAATAATACGATCTTTATCTCTATGAAAAAAGACTGGTATCATGAATGGTTAAAAAAATATAAGGGATTATTTGGACAATCTTCTCCTTAGTAAGATTCTCCTTATTAAACTAATATTGGACATACTTATTAACATATAAAATAGCACCGAAATTATATAAGATTCATAATTAATTTATGGGGTACTAAGAATTGTCTGAACATGGCCAAAGAGCCATCAATATGGTCGCAGTCTCATGTTCTGTCAATTTTTATTTTGTTTAGATATTCTACTGCTCTGAATTGGGTGATGGGTACTGTTATTTTATGTATGTTGGTTTTTTTTTTATGTCGGACATTATGCGGTCATGTTTCAATTAATTTGAGGATGTATATTGTTGTAATATGTTTAATAAGATATGTAATTATTTATTTGTCTGCTGCATATGCCATGAATTTGATTGTAAGGTGCAGTATATTTGTTGTATATGGAAAAATTTGCTTCAATAAAAATTTTATTAAAAAATCAATAAGATTAGTTTGGCATGATCTCCCTGAAGTAAACCCATGTTGTCTCTGATCTTGAAATCCATGTGTTTTTAGATGTTCAACAATCCTATCCTTTAACATGGTTTCCATCACTTTCCCCACTACTGAAGTAAGGCTTACTGGCCTATAGTTGCCAGACTCCTCCCAACTACCTTTCTTGTGAATGGGCACAACATTCGCTAACTTCCAATCTTCTGGGACAACTCCTGTTAACAATGATTGGTTAAATAAATCTGTTAAAGCTAGTACACCACTAAGCTCTTTTAATAGCTTTGGGTCTATTCCATCAGGTCCCATTGACTTATTTGTCTTTACTTTTGACAGTTGAAATAGAACCTCTTCCTCTCCTCTGTAAACTCACGTGTAATAAATGATTAATTTGTCCTTTTTCCTAACTGATGCCCCTTTCCTTCATTTTCATCTGTAAATACCGAACAAAAATATTAATTGAGGCAGTCAGCTGGACCTTTATCCTCTTCTACATACCTTCCTTCTTTTGTTTTTAATCTAACTAATCCTTGTTTTACTTTTCTTTTCTCATTTATGTATCTAAAAAATGTTTTGGCCCCCTTTTTTACTGGCTGTGCTATTTTCTCTTCTGTGTGTGATTTGGAAGCTCTTATAACTTGCTTAGCCTCTTTCTGTCTAATCTTATAGATCATTTTGTCTTCCTCACTCTGGTTTTTTTTATAATTACTAAATGCTAACTTTTTGTTTTTAACTATTTTGGCCACATCTGCGGAGTACCACACTGGTTTCTTGAATTTTTTGCTTTTACTGACAAGCCTAATGAAATTTTCTGTTGCCTTCAGTAGTGCAACTTTTAAATAATCCCATTTCTCTTGGACTCCATTTAAATTGCTCCAGTCTGATAATGACTCCTCTACACATATTCTAATTTTTGAAAAGTCTGTTTTTCGAAAGTCTAAAACTTTTGTTTTTGTGTGGTGTGACTCAGTCACTGTTCTTATATTAAACCACACTGACTGATGATCACTGGATCCTAAACTTTCACCTACAGTAATATCTGATACCAAATCTCCATTTGGTAACACTAAATCTAGTATGGCCTGTTTACGAGTTGGCTCCTCAATGACTTGTTTTAGAGACAATCCCAGTAGGGAGTTTAGAATATGTGTACTCCTGGCACAAGCAGCTATTTTTGTTTTCTAATTCACATCAGGAAGATTAAAGTCGCCCATGATGATAACTTCCCCCCTTCATTATCATTTTAGCTATTTCCTCAACTAGTAGATTATCTAACTCTTCAATTTGTCCTGGGGGCCTATAAATCACACCTACACGAGTTACTGTGTGATTACCAAATTCTAACGTAACCCAAACGGACTCTATGTTCGCCTCACTAACTTTTATTAGGCTAGATTTTATGCTATCCTTCACATACAGCAAACAGATCTTTGAAGCTGCTGGTGCCTGTGGAGTCCCACGGACATCAAGGTGTAGAGTCCTCCAGAGTCTTTCAACTGTGCATAATCCTTCTATTCGGCCACCACTAACCAATGCTCACAAGCAGAAACTGCTGCATTGGGCTGAAAAATACATGAAGACTAATTTTCAAACACTCCTGTTCACTGATGAGTGCCGTGCAACCCTGGATGGTCCAGATGGATGGAGTAGTGGATGGTTGGTGGACGGCCACCCTGTTCCAACAAGGCTGAGACGTCAGCAAGGCGGTGGTGGAGTCATGTTTTGGGTCGGAATCATGGGAAGAGAGCTGGTTGGCCCCTTTAGGGTCCCCGAAGGTGTAAAGATGATCTCTGCAAAGTATGTGGAGTTTCTGACTGACCACTTTCTTCCCTGGTACAGAAGGAAGAACTATGCTTTCCATAATAAAATCATTGTCATGCGTGACAATGCACCATCTCATGCTGCAAAGAATACCTCTGCATCAATGGCTGCTATGGGGATAAAAGGAGAGAAAGTCATGTTGTGGCCGCCATCCTCCTCTGACCTCAATCCTAATGAGAACCTTTGGAGCTTCCTCAAGCAAAAGATCTATGAGGGTGGGAGGCAGTTTACATCCAAACAGCAGCTCTGAGAGGCTATTCTGACATCTTGCAAACAAATTCAAGCAGAAACTGTCCAAAAACTCACAAGTTTAATGGATGCAAGACTTGTGAAGCTGCTATCAAATAAGGGGGTCCTATGTTAAAATGTAACGTGACCTGTTAAAATGTTTAAAAAGTTAAAATGTTGTTATAAGTTTGATTGAAATATCTTTTGATTTCAGTAAATATGCTGCAAACACAACAAATGACAATTTTCAGTTCTTTACAACCTATAAAGTGTTTTGAAACTTACTGTGCATTGTAAGTTTTTTTTATGTTTTAAAAAAATACTGTTATCATTAGGAGGTTTGTTCAATAAAATTTGAATTGTACTCTTAATAGTTGATAACATGAGAATTATGCTGACTTATTTACATCAATTATTTAGGTAAATTAGAAAAATATAATTTGCATAATAATTAAGAACCGATATGGGCCATATAAGCAAGAAGTGCTTGTTAAATTTTCCTACAAGCTCAATCTTGAAGGATGGTTTTAATAAAGGGAGTTATTTGGGTTTTAGCCACTTCAAGAGCACTGCATAGTATAATGGTCACAACCTTACTTTTGTCATCAAACCAGCAGATAAAGGTGGTAGTTTGGTGATAATGGATTCTGAGAAGTATGTGGCAAAATGTATGAGACAATTGGAGGACACTGAGGTTTACATCAAACTAAATGGAGACCCATTGGGAAATATGAGAAAGTCCCTGATGAGACCATAGACCATAGACCACAGATCATACATTGACATCTAACCAGATTGACTTTCTGATCGAGTGTATCAGATGGACCCGTGACCATAGTTATTTCTGGTTTAGTTCTTCATTTTTTTTGCAAATAAGAGGGATGGAGAAGTACTTATGCACACAGATATGCTAACCTTTTCATGGCCCATTGGGCAAATTTGTTTATATATGGGCAGCATGACTGGAGTGCACAAGTGCTTGCCTCTCACCAGCATATAGACGATATGATTTTTATTTGGGAGGGACCAGAAGAAGATTTTAAGGAATTTTTATGTTTTCTGAAGAATAATACATGGGGAATACACATTACTGGTAATATTAGTACACAGTCTATTGACTTTTTAGACCTTAATATCTATGTTGAGGAAGGAGTCCTTAAAACACAAACTTTAAAAAAAAAATGTGGATGTTAATGGGTATGTGCCCTATAGCAAGGACACTACTCTCCTTGGCTAAATAATATACCTAAGGGCCAACTCCATAGACTGAAGTGTAACTGCACTGAAAAGGCAATATTTCAACCGCAAGCGCAGGACCTTTTAAACAAATTTAGGGAAAAGCAATACCCTAAAGAAAATTTAGAGAAAGCCCTTGAAAAGGTAAAAGATGTGACACAAATAGAACTAATACAAAGGGACAGAGAACGGAGAAATGACCCAGATGTTTTTAAGGATATTTTAGTGTTTGATTTTAATAATTAAAACAAATTCTGGCCAATACTTAAAACAGATAAAGATCTGGGTGAAATACTACTATCTAAACCTAGGATTACTTTTCGAGTAATCTAAAGTCTCAGAAATACTTTAGTCCATAGTTTTTACAAAGAAAGGATAAATAGACCACTGGACACTTTTTTTAGGATGCCCCAAGGGCTTCTTTAAATGTAAAATGTGCTCTGCATGTAAAAACACTAAAAAAATTAATGGAAAACCAAAATTTAAATTTAAGTCAGAAAGGACACAAAAATAATTTACAATTAAAGACCACATTATCTGTCATAGTAATAACGTGATACATCTACTGAAATGTCCCTGTAGACCACAATATGTGGGGAGGACGACACATCCACTCCACATAAGGATCAGAGAGCATATTTATAATATTAAGAGGTGTGGAGTGTCACAGTGTCTCTGAACATTTTAAAGCGGTGTATGGGCAGGACCCAAGTGGCCTGGAATTATCTGTGATTAAACAAGTATCTAAAGATTCACTACCAGAGGGCATGTGAGCAGATGGTGGACTTATTTTGCTGCTATATGTGTTTTTAAGGCTTGAAATAAAGGAGTTTTTTTTACCTGTAACCCGGGTCACCAGAGCATCTATTGGATCCAATGTACTCAGGGCCGTCTTTAATATGGATTGGACTCTGGGCAAACATTTGCTTGGGCCCCCTGAACCCGGTCGTCCCCTCCCTGGCATGCAATCATGCCCCCCACCCCAACGCAGAGGCGGACGTAAAGTAGAGAGGGCTCTGGTGCATGAATTATTTTGGGCAAGAGGGGGCAAAAGGTAGATCCCCATCTGTCATGCAACTCCAACAATGCTTTGACAGCTGGGGCGCTACCATTTTCCTATGCATGCAGGGTTATACTTAGCACCGAGCAGTATTTGTGTGTTTGAGTGTAAGCATGTTTTTGTATGGAGTATGTTTGTGTGAATGTAGGGGTGTGTTTGTATGTGGAGATGGCATTTAAATGCAAGTATGCATTTATGTGTAGTGTTGGTTTATGAATACACTGGTGTGTTTATATATAATTTTGTTGTTTAAAAAAAGAGGTGTGTTTATATGTAGTGTTGAAGTTTGAATGCAGGTGTGTATTTGCGTGTAGTGTTGAATGCTGAGATGTATGCACAAATACAAACACACACACACACACTGTGATACACATACACACACAGAAACACTTGCAGATACACAGATATACACAATCATACAGATGCAGCTATACAGACACATTTACACACACTGACACACACACATACAGACACACAACCTGGCACACATGCAGACACACAGATGCACACACGCAGATACACTGACAACATACAGATACACAGACACACACAATGACAACATACAGACACACAGATATATAACCTGACAAATGCAGATACAAACACTGACACACATGCAGATACACACATTGGCTACATACAGATACATACACAGGCATACACACTGGCACACACACACAGATACATACATACTGACAACATACAGATACACACTGACACACACACACACACACACACACAGACACTGTGACAGACATACTGACACTGTGACAGACATACATACTGACACATACACAGACATACTGACTGGCACACCGACATACATACAGACACACAAACTGACACACACAGACATACTGACATACACATAGACATACATACTGTCACACACACAGACATACATACTGACACACACATAGATATACAAACTGACACACAGACATATACTGACTGACACATACATACTGACACTCACACAGACATACTGACACACACAAAGACATACATACTGACACACACACATACATACAAACTGACACACAGACAGACATACAAACTGACACACACACAGACAGACACTCTTCAGTTTCCTACCTTTGAAAGAGGCTTCCTTCCCTGGGGTCCAGTGTGCTGGCTGGGGTAGTTGGGAGTTGGGGGTCTGGCTCTTCTTGCTCCCCCTCCTCACTGGATCCTGGCTAGCAGCCTCCCACGCGGCCCGATATCTTTGAGGTGGGAGGAAGTGATTCGCGGACGTCACTTCCTCCCATGCAGCCGTTAAGCAAGGACCCGGTCGCGCTGTTAAAGGGCCACAGTGCCGACCGGACCCCTGCTGGAACATGCTCACTGGGTGGCTCTAAAGGTATGGGCCACCCGGTGGGCCCCCTTAGTGTGCAGTCCCCGGTGCAGCCGCAATACTAGCAAAGCGGGCCCATTAGGTAGGGAAATATTAAAAAAAAAAAAAAATTTATTGCAGGCGACGGGGCCCATGGGGCAGCTGCTTTGGGCCCCCCATGAGTAACTGGGCCCAGGGCAGCGGCCCTTTTGCCCCTCCTTAAAGACGGCCCTGAATGTACTCTAGGGACCGATCCACCTTGACTTTGGATCGGTCCCTAGAGTAGAGGCCAAGTAGTCCAACAGAAACAAAAAAGAAAACTAAAATATCACTGTTGAATATTGGAACCAATCCCACGTGAATGTGGAAATTGAACAATGGAATTCTCTTCATACTAGAAAAAATAAAAGAGAGAAAAAAACGTTATAGTATTAATATTAGCAGAAGCATACACATATAAAACCAACACAATAAAGGCATACATAACAAATGTTATAACAATAATTGAATAATTTAACCACAACAAATAAGAGCACCAAAGAAAGAGGAAATTTCAGCAGAAGAGTGTAACTAACAAACCCATCTAGCCAGTGCAGCAGCCTTATGTCCGAAAAGGCTGGAGGTAAGAAATAAGCAGTAAGCCAGACCTAAATGTCTGCAAAGAACCATTAACAGACAAATTGATGTGCATGGTAAACTCCTCCACTGATCTAACATCTCTCAGGGAAAGATGCATGCAGGTGGCGCCCAGCCCCAAAAGCTGGCATCTGACTGCAGAACAAAGTCCAGATGATGACCAAAAATGGCTCGACCATTCCATGCTTGCATGTGGAGGTGCCACCAACACAGCTCAGTCACGACATCCTCTATCAGTTGCACCGACTGATTATAAAAAGGATGTAGTCGAAGATTCTGCACATAACTCTGGGGCAGAGTTCACCCTGCTCTTCTTAAGAAGAACTTTGCCTTTATCATCTTTTTTTGTCCTGAGAGTGCCTCTTTTTTTGTCCTGAGAGTGCCTCTTTTTTTGTCCTTTCCAGTGCCTCTTTTTTTGTCCTTTCCAGTGCCTCCTCTGCTGCATTTGTTCCTCATGATGAGAGAGATCAGAAACAAGGGAGCTGTCAGACTCATACTGCACAGGCTTGTCAGGGGTAGCAGGCTTCGCATAAGTCAAGTTTTGAAAGGCTTTTGCCAGAGTCTTTTGGCTGACACAGGATCTCTTTTATACAAGTATGGACAGTATTTTATGTCTTTTATTTTATTTTATTGTTTTTTTGGTTAATACATTTATTACCCATGCACACACATTTACTGACCCAGGCAGACACACGTTCACTGACCTATGCACACACACACATACACACTCACTGACCCATACAGGTACTCACACTCTGAACCATTTAGATACTTATTCACTGACCTGTGCACATCTGACCGTAAACCTTGCAATCACAATTCCTTGACGTTATTCAAAATGACTGCCACTAGAGGTGTCCCTATGCAGCAAAGTAAACACTGTCTTTTCTCTGAAATGCCTGCAGGGTCAGGCTATAGACACCAGCACAACTACATTAAGCTGTAGTTGTTCTGGTAACTATAGTGTCCCTTTAAAGTTACATATTATCAGTTTATCTATTTTAGGTATCTCTAAACATTAGTTTAGTTGCACACAAAACTGAAATTTTAGCCTGTTTATGTGCTAACTATGCATCCAGGGGCGTTTTAGCCGCGAGGCAAACAAGGCATTTGCCTTGGGCGGCATTTTTCAGGGGGCGGCAAAAAAAGCCGCCCCCAAATGCCCAGGGCAAATGTCATGTTAGCGTCGCGGCTAACAGACATGCTGGGCGCAGGGCGGCATCGGCGAGCGGCTGACGAGGGAGCTTTTCCTGTGAGCTGACTGCTCAGCTCCCTCGCGCGCCGCAGAGTGAGGCTGGGAGCCGGAAGATGACGTGATATCCCGGCTCCCAGCCTCACTCTGCGGCGCGCAACGGAGCTCAGCAGTCAGCTCACAGGAAAAGCTCCCTCGTCAGCCGCCTGCCCGCTCGCCCGCCAATGCCGCCCACCCAGCAGTCACTGGACCACCAGGGAGATAGAGAACCCCTTCCCTCCCCAGCACTCCCAAAGGTAAGGAGGCTGGAGGGGGGGGAGGTTTAAAAAGTACATGTGTTAATGTGAGTGTGTGTGTCTGTTAGTGAGTGTGTGTTATTGTGTGTGTCTGTTAGTGTGTGTGTCTGTTAGTGTGTGTGTGTCTGTTAGTGAGTGTGTGTCTGTTAGTGTGTGTGTCTGTTAGTGAGTGTGTGTTAGTGTGTGCGTGTCTGCTAGTGAGTGTGTCTGTTAGTGTGTGTGTGTCTGTGAGTGAGTGTGTCTCTGCTAGTGAGTCTCTGCTAGTGAGTGTGTGTGTGTGTATTTAGAAGGCGGGGGAAGGGATGGGAGGGGTCACGCGCGCGGGGGGGAAGGGATGGGTGGGGGTCATGTGCGCAGGGGGGGTTGGGGGGCGCCTGAGTTTTGTCCTGCCTAGGGCAGCACAAAACCAGGATACACCACTGTATGCATCTCATATTTAAATCTCAAGAAAGAAATTTAGTGTAATTGTGTCTTTTGTGTCCCCTTAGTGAAAACAAGTCTCAACAAACATTAATTCAAACTTTTATGTACTAATTTATTTTTCAATATTCTTTGGAGGACAAAGCATAATACATTATTTTCTTTTACAGATAGCACAAGAGGTGTGCGTGAAGGCTGCTGTGGGACTGTGGCAGGCTGAAGGTAATAAACTGGAAATTTATAAGGCTGCTAAACATATAATGGAATAATATCAGTAACCAAGGCACTAAGAAATCCTAGCATGCTATGGTGCATTAAAAGTATCTGCACCAGCTAAGGCACTGAGTGTACTGTTTTGTAAATGATGAATTGGAGAATTACCGCCTGACAGGCCCTGACTGGCCATTGGGCATACCGGGTAAATGTTAGAGATCAATCAAAAAAAGGATCTCACCTGTTGGTTCATGCAGGGCCTGCGCAAACGGAGCGCCGGCCCTGCTGCATTCCATGACGGGCCGGTGAGGAGATCAAAGATCTCCTCAGCGGCCCACTTGCACAGACATGCGGCTGGGGAGGGAGAGGAGGAGGCAAATGTCTGGTGGGCTGCGATGGCCATGGGCCAAGGCCAGCAGGGGAGGTCACAGGATCTCACCTGTTGGTCTATGCAAGGCCCGTGCTACTGGAGCGCTAGCCATGATGCATTCCATGACGGGCCGGTGGGGATATCAAAGATCTCCCTGCCTGGCCCACTTGCACAGACATGCGGCTGGGGAGGGATAGGAGGAGGAAAATGCCCGGTGGGCTGCAATGGCCATGGGCCGAGGCCGGCAGGATCTCACCTGTCGGTCTATGCAGGGCCTGTGCTACTGGGCTGGTGGGGAGTTTAAATATCTCCCTCACTGGCCCACTGGCACAGATATGTGGCTGTGGAGGGAGAGGAGCTCTATCTTGCAGCTCCGCTGGGTTCCTCTCACGAGATTCGGAGCATTGCCATAGTGGTCACTCACCACTAGCACCACCAGGGATGGCAGCACGGTCCCCCCTCCCAGTCTAAAGGTAAGACGGAAGGAGGGATATAATGATTGTTTTTTTTGTTGTTTTGTTTTTTATTTAAAATAAATACATTCTTATATAGTGGCATTAATCTGCCTCCCCCCCAACACACAATGCCTCCTAACATATACAAATAAACACACATCACCCTCACACACATCACCCTCACAAACAGCGCTCTCTCACACACACACACCATCCTCTCACACATCCAGAGCACACATACATAGAACACTTACACACACAGGACCCTCACACAGAGCATGCTCAGACACAGAGCACCCTCACACACAGCACTCTCACGTACACATCACCCTCACACACACACACACACACACACACACACACACACACACACACCACCGTCACATACACAGCACCCTCACACACACACTTCACCCTTTACACTCACAGCATCCATCACAAACACTTTACCCCTCCCACACATACACTTTACCCCTCCCACACACTTTACCCCGTACACACACACACACTGCACCACACACACACACAATACTTCATATATATATATATATATATATAAATATATTCACACCTGTTACCCCTGGTATGGTGTGAAATAGACCATAGCTCCATCATATTGTCATTAGAGACCAGGCTACAGGCTGCAAGGGGTATATATATACTACAGCACCCCTCACACACACACACTGCACCCCTCACACACATACTGCACCCCTAAACACATTACATTCCAGACACACACTAGATCCCTTACCCAACTCTGGATCATCTACACACATACACACACTAGATCACTATATACACTCTGAATCCGCTATATACACACTCTCTAGATCTCCTATACACATTCTAGGTCCTTTAACACACACACTAAACCCCTATACACACACACTGCCCCACCTACACACACACTACATTCCTGACATACACACTCTGGATCCCCAATACACACACTAGATTCCTTGTAAGCAAACACATACTACATTTCCTAAACACACGCTCTCTACATCACCTATACACACACACTATAGCCAGTATGCACACACTTACTACATGCCCTATACACACACTCTCTACAGCCCTTAACTACACATGAATTACATTACACCACAAACACAACACGTCTAAAACCGATCTTATTACACAATACCAACCCACACCAAAATCAGCTCACTCTTCATAAACGCAAACCCACAAGCAGGCCTTAAACACATGCACAATATTCCTTCATGGCCCTTTTGTCTCCTGGTATCCCATTTATAGAGACACCAGAGCAGTGGCGTACACACAATCCATGGGACACCGCTGCGAAAATTAATCCGTGGCCCCTGCCCACCCTTACTCTGTGCGGGCCGGGTCCGCAACACACGGTTGCGACCCCTACAACCGCCGTATGTACGCCAGTGCAGATACACATACACTTAAGGGACCACTATAGGCACTCAGATCACTTCAGCTCAATGAAGTGGTCTGGGTACCAGATCCCTCTAGTTTTAACCGTGCAGCTGAAAACAGCAGTTTCAGAGAAACTGCTATGTTTCACTGAGGGTTAATCCGGCCTCTAGTAGCTGTCTCACTGACAGCCGCTAGAGGTGCTACCACGATTCTCACTGTGAAAATCACAGTGAGAAGAAGCTGGACGAGCATAGGAAAGCATTGAGTTATGCTTTCCTATGGGCGGTTTGAATGCACACGCGGCTCTTGGAGCTGAGAGGCGGATCGGAGCGGAGAGATCTCCAGTGCCAAGGGAGCCCGGCGCTGGAGAAAGGTAAGTGCAGAAGGGGTTTTAAACACACACTCTCACGAACAGACGCATACACACTAGCTAACAGAAACACACATTTACTGACAGACACACACTCAGTGACAAACATACATACACACTCACTGACAGACAGACACACATACACACTCACTTACAAAATATACACTCTCACTGACAACCACACACACACTAACAGACACCAAACAGACTCAAAAACTAACACACACACACTGACACTCACTAGCAGACACACACTCAATAACAGACACACACAAACTAACACACAGTAACACACACACAAAAACAAACACACTCACTGACACTCACTAGAAGACACACACTCAATAACAGACACACGCAAACTAACACACAAGTAACACACTCAGTAACACACACACACAAAAAAACTAACACACATTTTTTTTAAATGTTATTAAATTTGCTTGCACAGTGCAGAACCAATACAGGGCCTTTTTCTCATAGTAGAGCTCTGCGTATGGTCTGCCCGGAAGAGCATTGAACCAACATGCTCACTTTGACAGGGGGCGTGCTTGTCATTGGTGATGACAAAACACACCCTCTCTGCCCTGCTCCCTTCTTAGTGGGCCTCTGTGATTAAAAAATGCCCGGGCTGAATTTTTTTCCCAGTCCAGCCCTGCCGGCGCCTGCAGTCCATATTGTTACACAGGCTGCCTTTTCAGTAGCTGTTAGATATCTGGTATTGAAAGATGTATAATAATGTGCTGTTAGCCAGAGAAAGGTTTTCATGTTGAAAATCTAGGTCTCTGTGAGATGATTACAAATGTCTTTTTAGGATTAACAAACACTAAAGCTTACAATGCATAAATCTCTTTAATTACTACTGGTTTATGTGATTATGGTGTCCCCACTCTCAAATGATCTTTTAGTATTGCAAGGCATTCATCGTGCTTTGAAAATGCACAGCCTTAGCTTGGTATCTGTGACAGCGTGTAGCTTTGTATCTGTCTCCATTGTCCATCTGTTCTGCTAACTCCAAGAGTCATTACTGGCTGTTATATGATTTTTTTAAAATAGAAAAGCATGCATTACTAAGCATCTATAGTGAACACATAAAACAAATCAGCAGCATTCACACAATGCCAGAGAGAGATCAATTAATTAATGCTAAACACACTAATATTAATGAATTTATTCAGTATCATAGAAATATTGCCAGGCAAGTGCCACCTAACAGCATGTGGAGCATGCAGGGTCATTCCAATCAGTATAACTACATACTGTAGTGGTTATGGTGCAATGAGTCTTTCAGTGCCATCCTCTCATTTTTTTTTCAAACCATTTTCATGAGTTCTGAAATATACCAGGGCTCTCCTAAAGGTGCACATCTGCTTCTGATTTCTACAAAGATAATACAAAAACTTCACATTTGCATTATGCCTGTATACCTGTCCACAATTTCACGACAATGATGCTATGAGCAGCAGAGGTGCTTATCCCAGCACTCACAGTCTCTCACCGTTCTCAGAATTTGGGCAACAGCAGTGATAGGCTTTGTGTGCCAGCAGAGCCCCAGTTTTAAAAATAATTTTAAACCTAGTAGGTGAAATGGGCGAGCCATATTGTATTCACATAAAATGGACATTGTCTTACAATTGTTTACTCATAATTTAGTAGAGATTCTTAGTCCCCAGCAGTTTGTAGCCCAGCCTCAAAAATGGCAGAGGGAAAGCTAGGCGTCCACCTCACTCCATAACATTTCATGACTGATATTGGGGCAGTAATTTACTGAGAGAACTCATCTGCCGCTCTTAGTCTATCATTACCTGTTATCCCTGGTATGGTGTGAAATAGAGCATAGCTCCATCATATTTAGACACGTGCAATTCGTTTCGGGCCAAATATGAATTTGGACGAATTTTGGGCAATTCGGACATTCGGGTACTTCCGAATGTCCGAATAGCCAAAATGCCGAATTGCTGAAGTGCCGAATTACCGAGTTCCCAAAGTTCAGAAATTTCCGAAGTGCCGAAGTTGCCGAAGTGCCGAATTGCCGAAGTATACTTACCTAGTGGAAGAAGAAGAATGTTACACTCTATACAATTTTAAATTAAAAGTATACAAACATAGCCAGGATTCAGCTGTAAGTTACTTGGCCAGTCAGTGTAATGACAGGAATGAATAAGTAGATAACTACCTAATTCCCACAGTATTAGGGAGCTATCTACTAAAAGGCTGAAAGACCTGAATTGGTCTTTCAGCCAAATTTACTAATACTAAGTAAATATTACTTAGTATTAGTAAATTATGCCCCTACTCGCTATACCGCATCCCGGCGGGGGGAGGACAATAGGTCCCCCCATTATTTTACTTTAGGGCCCTCACCCGCCGCTCAGGGGTGGAGGCCGGGGGGCAATAGGCCCTCCTTTAGTTTTTTTTTGTTTTTTTAACAGTGAGCAGCTGTTTAATAGACATGCCCCTACTCGCAGTATAGCAAGTACGGGCACAATTTACTAATACTAAGTAATTCTTATAAGTAATACTTAGTATTAGTAAATTTGGCTGAAAGACCAATTTAGGTCTTTCAGCCTTTTGGTAGATAGCTCCCTAATACCGTGGGAATTAGGGAGTTATCTACCAAGTGGCTGCAAGAGACGAAGTCCCGAATTGCCGAGGTCCTGAAGTTCCGAAATTACCGAATTTCCAAAGTGTTGAAGTGCCGAAGTTTCCGAAGTGCTGAAGTCCCGAATTTTGGAATGCCGAACCGAACCGAAAATTTTTCCCATGCACATGCCTAATCATATTGTCAATAGAGACCAGGCTTCAGGCTGCAGGGGGTAGAGAATATCTACTAAATAATGAGTAAACTGTTTAGTAATGATGCATGACCTGACATCCATGGAAACCAGGCACCTTAATTACTTTAATCTGTCGAGGTGGTTGTGATGCCTACATTGTTCCTTTAATAACATATTAGTTTAGCATTTCATTTCAGAAATGGATTAAGATATATTAGCGTTTTAGAACTTTTCAAAATATCCCAGTGACTTGGTGTAAACCTACCTTGTGAACTCAAATATTTCTCTGTTTACTTACAGGTGAAGACCAGAAAGAAAAATCAATCTGTATTAATGAGGATGCCAAAAGTTTAATATTTATAGATAAAGCTGATGCGGAAACTAAGGTACGTGCATAGAATTCTGTTTGTTTGTGTACATAAAATAGCTAAACTCCAGCAGCATCGCTAGGGTTGGTGGTACCCTCCCCATTGACTTCATCCTGTACCAGACCATGTAAGATCTACAACTTTGCTATTCTTGTTGTGAGTTCCAGCTATCTGGTAGTATCAGAGTATTGCTACAGGTTACCACAGCAAAGTTTCAATATTATTTGTGATATTGACGGAACTCATGAGATGGATACACCTGTTAAATAGGTGCATTAAAAAGGAGACACACGTACACTTCAAGTGTCCATACTTAAAAGGGACCTCTCTATTTTGGGCCCAAATCCATCTGTCCCTCTTTTTTATCCTAATGTACGTTTTTTTTCAAGGAGCTCCATAATGTTAGTGTGTCTGAGTATATAACAGAGCTCCACAGCAATAGTACTCACAGTAATGTGCTTTTAAACTACAATGAATGTGTTTAGAAAGCATTCTGTGTAAATAAGATACATTGTTCTAAATTAAATATTAGTTCTATAAATTGTTATTAAAGGGATCCTATAGTGCCAGGAGAACAAACCCGTTTTCCTGGCACTATAGGCCCTTGGAGTGCCCCCCTCCCTTGTGACCCCCCTATCTCAGCGCAAAAGGCTTTAAAACCCCTTCAGCCACTTTCCTTAATCCAGCGCCTCGGTGCTGGTAACCTCTCCTCCCCTGCCGATGTCAGCTCCCGAGTGGTGCCGAATGCACATGCGCGGCCAGAGGTGTGCCCGCATTTGAAGCCACTAGAGGCTGGATTAGCCCTGCAGTGTGAAAATAGCAGTTTCACTGAAACTGCTATGTTTTCAGCTGCAGAGTTAAAACTAGGGGGACCTGGCACCCAGACCACTTAATTGAGCTGAAGTGGTCTGGGTGCCTTTAGTGGTCCTTTAATAAATCACCTAAAATTTTGATCAACAGGCCCCACCCCCACTCACAGTCCTAAAATTAGAGTGTTAAATTTTGTCAATTTAGAATGTTGGGTAGTATGGATATAACACTCTCATCAGCAAAGCTTGGCTAGGGTGCATCCATCTCAACTGCGCTAATACTAAACCCTATTTACTAATTAAAACAAGGAAAAATTGATTTTGAAGTTTAGTGATACTGTAGCTGGCAATAGTATGTTTGTTTATATGTACGTGTTTGCTTGTAGTGATGTTTGGATAAAAGCTTTACCATTAACCATACACTTTGCATGTTTTGCTTTGCTCTATAGTGTATATTTTGTATCAAATCACAGGATTATATGCAGGCTGGCAGAACTTCAGAACTATTATTATCCTTACGTTATAAAATATATATTTCCACTACCCATTTTGTTATCAATTATTTACGTTTTAAAGTGTTCCTCTTAAGCTAGTCACATTCTTTCCTAGAAAGTTGCGTGTATTTTCCATTGTTAAATAAAATATAACAATATGTAACTCTGTGTGCACGAGAGAGAGGAGTTTGGAGGTTTTTTAATAACAGTATGAAAAGATATAGCTACATGGAGAAAAAAAAAGCTGACCAGTAAGATGTAGCCCCTCCCAGAAGCCTTTGCTCCTTCACACTAAACTCTGAATTCCAGTGAATTTAATCTGAATTGCAAAACTGAGGCTAAGATAGCAGATTTGGAGATTTGGCGACTTCAGCCTCAATATTGTCGTTTAGATGCTATTTGCTAAACGTTCGAGTTTAGTGCATTCACAGGGCTGGCGAAGATGCGTTTTGCGTGCCTCCTTACCCCCAAAAAAGTATCTTCACCTCTGTGTCTCGTAGCCCCCCTTTTGAATTTCTTACCCCATTAGTGTTTCATATCCCCTCTCTTGAATGTCTTGCACCTTTGTGCCTTATACCCCCCTTTATTGTGTCTCTTACAACCCTTGTTATGTATTTCTTACTTCCCCGCCAGCCCCTTTGTGTCCCTTTCTTCCCCTCAGCCCCTATCTGTCTTTCTCCCCCTCCCCCAGCCCCTATCTATCTCTCTTTCTCCCATATAGACATACATACAGGCAAAAATACATTTATGCACAAATACACAAACATACAGACACATAACATAAAAATTGGCATTTATGTGATTATGTCACATTGTGTGTGTGTGTGTGTAGTTGTTTTACAGTGTGTGTATAGCTGTGTCAGTGTGTGTGCGTGTAGCTGTATCACAGTGTGTGTTTGTGTGTGTGTAGCTGTGTCACAATGTGTGTGTATATCACAGTGTGTGTGTGTGTGTGTTTGCATGTGTCAGTGTGTATATATGTAACTGAGTGTTAATGTGTATGTATACATGTGTGAGTATGTGGGTCAGTGTGTGTGTGTGTCATGGTGTGCATCTGTGTATGTGTATACATGTCAGTGTGTGTGCATCTGCGTATTAAGGTGCATGTGTGTGTTACTCTGCGTGTATCTTAATTCAGGAACAAGGCCTTCCCTCTGGAAATGTGAGCCCGAGATTTAAAATTTTTAGAATACACAGGCTTTCAAAGACTGTGCCACATGACCGCCGTGGACTATATAGTTGCATTTGATGTCTCGGAGAAGATGACTCTTAAACCGGGAGATTTATTTCGGTATCTCCAACTTAAAGATTTTGTAAGCCAAACTTAAACACATGTGCCTTCAGGAGTCAATTCACAGGGGTCTGGTCTCCTCTCTTTACACTCACATAGCATCCAATACTACGGAATGGGGCAAACCAACCTGGTGGAGACGTTAGAGGGAAATGACTGGCAGGACATATGGGAAGCCAATACTGCTGTCTCGATCTGCACATCCATCCAGGAACAAACATAAGACTATGTTTTGTTGGTACATGACAGCAGTCCAGCTCTAGCATGTGCAAAGCACCTGATGACCTCTGTTGGAGAAATTATTGTAGCAAAGGGGCATATTTTCACATGTGGTGGGACTGTCCAGTTGCAAAGACCTTCTGGCAAATAGTGGGAGACCTCATAGCACAGATTTTTAAGCGTAGTATTGCAATAGATCCTTGGGTCTTTTTGCTTTCCAGACCAAAAGACCATTGGACGAGATCAGACAAAGACTATTGCATAAATTGACCCTAGCTGCTAGACGTGCCTTGGAGCAAACTTGGCTTAAACAAGACGTTCCCTTATATCCTTAGTTATACATAAAACAAAGAATACCTGCCTCATGGACAAATTGACTGCTATTGCCCGAGGGTCTCTAAAAAAGTGAAAAAAAGTGGATGGTTGAGTGGGCATGCAGAGACTCTCCTCCGCCCTGAAGGATCCCCCCCCCCCCCATGAAACCAGTTACACCCCTTCATATTGACCTTATAGATGGTTACCTCATAGGGATTTTCACCAGCCCCCTGCCACCACCCCCTCCTGTGGCGTCACGCTCATGGTGGGTGCGGATTTCGAAGAGCCACCACCAGTGGCGTACTAAGGGGGGGGGGGGCGGTCCGCCCCGGGTGCCAGCCGGGTGGGGGGTGCCATGGCCAGCCCCCCGCCCCCCATGCTGCAGCCGCCCGAGCGCTCTGCAGAGAGCCTCAGGCGGCTGCAGCTTTGCCCGGGCGGTGCATCCATGAGGGCGGACCGCACCGCCCGGGCGCAGCCTGAGGAGAGGCTGACAGGGAGGAGCGCTCCTGTCAGCTCCCTCACTGCAGCATGTTAGTCCGACGGGTACAGGGGAGTGTTCCTGTGCTTGCCGGACTAACAGGAAGGGACACTGAGGTTCACTTCCTGTTAGTCCGGCCAGGAACAAAAGCTCCCGTACCCGCCGGCTATACTGGGATCGGCCACGCCACAGGGAGGTAGGGGAGGGGAGAAAGAGAGATAAGGGGGGTGAGAAAGAAATAAGGGGGTGAGAAAGAGAAATAGGGGGTGAGAAATAAGGGGGGTGAGAAAGAGAAATATGGGGTAGTGAGAAATAAGGGGGGGTGAGAAATAAGGGGGGGTGAGAAATAAGGGGGGGTGAGAAAGAGAAATAAGGGGGGGTGAGAAAGAGAGATAAGGGGGGGTGAGAAAGAGAGAGAAATAAGGGGGGGTGAGAGAGAGAAAAGGGGGGGTGGGTGAGAGAGAAAGGAGGGGGGGTGAGAAAGAAATTGGGAGGAGGAGAAGGAAATTGGAGCGGGAGGAGAGATTGACATTCATCACATACACACAATGCACCCCTTGCACACAGAAAAACACACAAACACACATACACAAGCAATGCAACCGTTACACACAATGCATCCCTTACACACACAGAAACACACAATGCATTCATTACACACACTCAATGCACCCCTTACACACATTCAATGCATCCCATACATACACAGAAACACACCTTGCAGCCCTTACACATACAAACACAATTTCACACAATGCATTCCTTACACACATATCAGGACATCCCCCACACACTCCACCCCCTGTGAACAAACTCATTGGTGGAACATGAAGGTGGACCCTGGGACCCAGACCTTGAGCTGTGTAAAGGACCCCAAAAAATGGAGCTGCTTCCCGTTCTCCCAGAACATTGATTTTTGTGACCACAGTTACAAACCGCCTCCAGAGAGCCTGTTCTGCACCAGACCAGTGGAGCCAGACTGCAGCTAGAGCCCATCATCATCCTCATCTGGTTGTAAGTAGGCAATCTAGTATATTATTCGTGGCACTAAGCTCTAATTTACCTCACATTAAAGAAACACTATAGTCCCCAGAACCACTTCAGCTTAATGTAGTGGTTCTGGTGTCTATAGCCTGTCCCTGCAGGCCTTTTAATGTAAACACGGCGGCACTGCAGCACTGGCGTTAGTTAACATGGCAAATCATATGGCTGGGGCATTGTGATGTCACATGGGGGGCGGCAAACTTTACTTTTGCCTAGGGCGGCAAAAATCCTTGTACTGGCCCTGGCTGGAGGGGGCTGTGTGAGCTGTGGCCGCACAGTGTCCCATGGTAGTTAGGAAATGTGTATGTGTGACTGTCTGCCTGTGACTGTGTGTGACTGTCTGCCTGTAACTGAGTGTGTGACTGTCTGTAACTGAGTGTGTGACTGTGTCTGTAACTGAGTGTGTGACTGTCTGCCTGTAAATGTGTGTGTGGGGCTGCAGGGATTTTGTAGAAGGGGGTGGGGGTTTTGTATTGGGACAGGAGTCTTTATAAGGGGGGATAAGCAGGGGATTTGTGGAAGGGGGTTGCGGGGTTTTGTAGATGGGGCAGTACAGGATTTGTAGAAGGGGCAGGACAGAGGTTTTGTAGGAGGGGCAGGGCAGGACAAGGGTTTTGTAGGAGGGGCTGACAGCGGTTTTGCAAAGTTTACAAATTGTAAAAATAAAAGAAATAAAACCTTTAACTTTTTTTTTTTTGGAGGGGGTGGGGGCCAAGCACAGGATCCGCCCCGGGTGCCAAATGCTCTAGGTACGCCCCTGGCCACCACCTCTATTCCTTTACCTCTCTCCTGTCTTTATCTACTTGTTCCGTATTCCTCTCTTCTCCTACTGTAATTACGCATCCATAAGAGACACAAGTGTCTTAAAGCACAATACGACCTCACGTGTCTAGAGGAGGTAGCATTCTAGTCAGCTCTGACCTTTAGTAAATTTGCCAATGTTACATGTCTATGTCTGTCTAATTAGTTTACCAGGGAGAGAGACTTTTTAATTTTAAACTGCCAGCTTTTGTAGTTGATTATTGTAAAGGATCCTTGCATACGTGCAGCGATGATCCTTGCAGCTTCTCCCGAAATCCCGCTGGAACAGAGTGATTATAGCTTCCAATTCCCCAAACATGAGTCGAGACTTCATGAAGGGGTAAAACGATCTGATTTACTGTGGGCTACCCGCCCAGTATTTATGCAGGTCTTCCACCTGGTGGACACTCCCCTAGGGGACCAGATGGAAGACTGGGACAGAAGTAATACAGTAGCCAATCACAGTGGCTATAGGATAAACACTCCCCTTTACACAAATCACTCCCTCTTTCCCATCCTGGAGATAATTAGATTAAGGTAGCAGAGTGAGCCGTAATTATCTCCAGAAGGAAAGAAACATGCCTTTTTGTATTTAGCAAAAACAGAATAAAAATACATAACTTTCTTTTTATATAACATAAACTTTAAGTTCCACACATCCCCAGATAGCTTGGATCTGAGTGCATATTCTAGGCGAATAGCGCTCAGATCCCACGAACACAGGTCCCAGAATCGTCGACTGAAGTTCGACTTTCCCTGGCCGTTCGTGTGTTTGTAACCGATTGCCAGTCCTCTATTATAGCTATCTGGGGTCGATCACTTTCGCATAGTTTAACTCACGAATGAAGCATTATCCCTTCATTCGTATGGTTCCACCGTATGAACGAGGATGGGTGAAGGTAGCAGCGGCGTTCGACAAAATATGTCGCTGAAATCAGTTCCAGGGAATCCTCACCATTTGCCGCAGTGCGTTCGACAAAACCAAAATGGCAATTGCCACGTGTTCGGGAGGTGAACGCGGACCACCCGCTATACCAATTAGTTTGTGGTTAACCGCAACAGTCAGGGTGGTCAATGAGTGCCACACGACCTCAGTGGGAGGTCGGTGGTTCGGTAGTTTGTTCGCATTATTTGATATTTTCACGAAATCCTGTTGTAATGCTCCAAATAACCGAACAGGCTTGTCCGTGCAGGCTGTGAATAGGGGATTTCGTTACACAGCTCCCCCTTAGTCCCATGGAACTGCATACCTGCGTAGACCCTAACGGGTCGGCTAAGGGATGTCCGGTAGCCCAGGAAGAACAAACAAAAAAAAAAATATTACTTTTCCAGTTCCGTTTGTCGGGACAGGCCATCAGCATTGGCATTCTGTTTCCCGGGGCGATACTGCATTGTAAAGTTGTAGGGTTGCAGCGCCAAGCTCCATCTGAGTAGTCTGGGGTTGTCACCAGCTACTCTGTTAAGCCAAATTAAGGGGTTGTGGTCCATCAGCACTGTGAAGGAGCGCCCATACAGGTAGGGTTGTAGCTTCTTAAGTGCCCAAACTAATGCCAGACACTCTTTCTCCACAGTGGCATAGCTGACTTCTCGGGGTAGCAGTTTTCGGCTCAGATACGCTACCGGGTGATCCATGCCATCGTCTCCCACCTGGCTCAATACTGCTCCCAGTCCAAACATTGAGGCATCTGTGTGGACGAGAAACCTTTTAGTATGGTCAGGTGCCGCCAACACAGGAGATGCACTTAAGGCAGCCTTGAGTTTCTGGAACGCCTCCTCACACTCAGGGGACCAGATTACCTGTCGGGGTAGGGACTTTTTGGTGAGGTCTGTCAAGGGTTTGGCAAGGGCACTGTATTCCGCTACAAACTTCCGGTAATAACCTGCGGTGCCTAGGAACGCCATGACCTGGGTTTTTGTCCTGGGTTGGGGCCACTGGGTAATGGCCTCAATCTTAGCGGGCTCTGGTCTCTGTTTCCCTGACCCTACTCGGTGGCCTAAATATTGGACTTCAGCCATGCCCACGTGACATTTCTCAGGCTTCAAGGTTAGCCCTGCATTCTGAATGCGGTTGAGCACTACTGAGATGTGCTCCAGGTGGGCTTCCCAAGTGCCACTGAAGATAGCTATATCATCCAGGTACGCACAAGCGAAGCCCTGAAATCCCTCTAGGAGCCGGTCCGCCATCCTTTGAAACGTAGCTGGGGCATTCTTCATCCCAAATGGCATAACCTTAAACTGGTATAGGCCAAATGGGGTGACAAATGCCGCTTTTGGAATGGCCCCAGGCTCCAAAGGGATTTGCCAATATCCCTTGCACAAATCAATAGTGGTCAAATAATTCCCCCCAGCCATACGGTCTAGCAGTTCGTCTACTCTGGGCATGGGGTAGGCATCGGTAACGGTCCGATCGTTTAACTTGCGGTAGTCCACGCAGAACCTTGTGGTACCGTCTTTTTTAGGAACCATGACAACTGGGGAAGCCCAGGGGCTTTGGGACGGTTCTATGACCCCCAGCTCTAACATGTCCTGGAGTTCTGTTAACATGCTTTCCCGTACTGCCTCTGGAATTCGGTAAGGCTGCTGCCGCAGGGGTAACTGGCCTGGGGTCTCCACTCTGTGGACTGCCAGGGTCGTATACCCTGGGGCTGCTGAAAACATGCCCCCAAATTCCTTTAGCAGTTGGGACGCCTGAGCTTGTTCCTCGGGCCCTAATGCTGGACCCAACTGTACCTGGTCTACTCCTGTGGGTTTCTGAGGAAGCATATCTGGTAAGGGGATATTCTCGCTATCTTCATATGCTGGAGCGCATACCGCGGAGACCTCCTCTGGTCTCTCAAGATATGGCTTAAGCATATTTATATGAAAGGACCGCCGGATCCTTTCATCGGAACAGTCTGCCACAACGTACGTGGTATCACTGATCCGCTCTATTACCGTGTAGGGGCCCTGCCAGGATGCTTGCAACTTATCTGTTTTGATGGGTTTAAGCACTAGGACCTTCTGTCCTACTTCTAATATACGGTCTCTAGCTCCTTTGTCATACCAGTGCTTCTGTCGTTGTTGGGCGGCTTGCAGGTTCTCCCGAACTGTTTCGGTCAGCGCCTGTAGTCGGTCCCTCAACTCTAACACAAAGGAGACTATAGGGGTACCTGCTTGTTCTATATCACCTTCCCAATGTTCCCGTACCAGATCCAGGGGTCCCCGGACCCGTCTCCCGTATAATAGCTCGAACGGGGAGAATCCGGTGGACTCCTGGGGAACTTCCCTATAGGCAAAGAGCAAATGAGGGAGGAACTTTTCCCAATTCCTACAGGTCTCTGTGAACGTGATGAGCATTTGCTTAAGGGTGCCATTAAAGCGTTCGCAGAGGCCGTTGGTTTGGGGGTGATAGGGAGAACTTAATATGGGTTTTACCCCACAGCTCTGCCAGAGCTGCTGGGTAACCACCGCGGTGAATTGGGTTCCCTGATCTGACACTATCTCTCTAGGGAATCCCACCCTAGTGAACACCTGAACTAGGGCTTCCGCTACCGTTTCTGCATGTATATTTGACAGGGCTATAGCTTCGGGGTAGCGGGTAGCGTAGTCCACCACAGTAAGAATGTATTTCTTACCGGATGGACTGGGTTTACTGAGTGGCCCGACTAAATCGACTGCCACTCGGAAAAATGGTTCCTCAATAATGGGTAGGGGACGTAGTTTTGCCCTGGGGTGATCCCCTCTCTTCCCTACCTTTTGACATACTTCGCAGGTCCTGCAATTATCCTGCAAATCTCTAGTGACCCCTGGCCCGTTGGGCTTGCTCAAAGTCTTGAAGTGTACCCCAGTAAGAAGTGTGGTCAGGGGAAATCGTCAGAGGGTTATTGCTCACCTGGTCATGGGTTGAGGGGGAGGCTTCCATAGCTCGGGATTGCTGCCGGGTGGTAACAGGTAGTGCTCCTTCGATACTGCAGGCTGCCAATTGGGACGTCAGGCATCCTAGATCGTTTCCCAGTAATACTTCCGCGGGCAAATCTGGCATGATGCCCACTTCCACGGCCTTGGCCCCTGAACCCCAATCAATGTGAACCCGGGCGGTTGGTAACTTGTGAATTGCCCCTCCGGCCACCCTTACAGCAATGGTGCGTCCGGTGTGCTGGGTCGGGGTGACTCGATGTGGCTGAACCAAGGTAATCGTAGCTCCACTGTCTCTTAGTCCCCGAGCTTCTTGCCCATTGAGCTTTACCGACTGGCGATGATGCGCCCTGTTATCCCCAGCCGCTTGGACAGGGTTCACCTCATGCAAGGTGGCCCAATTTTCACTATTGCTACTGGGTGTCTCTTGAGTCAGAGGGTTGTAATCCTCCTGCACACAGTGTGCAGCTGCTTTTGTTGGTGGTATCGGTGCCCGCCCCCAGCGGTCTGTAGTGCGTTGTGGGCAATTAGGTTTGATGTGCCCCACTTGTTTGCACCCATAACACATTGGAGCGGTCTTTTGGTACCCCGGGGTTGTGGTATTGCCCCCTGGAGGTGGTACCCTCTGGGGCATAGTTGGCGGGGCAGAGGCAGGCCGCTGGCTCTGGGCCCCTCGGTTGCCATCCATCCGCCGGCTCTCATGAAATTCATCTGCCAGCCTTGCTGCCTCTTCCACCGTTTTTGGCTTTCTGTCTCTGACCCAGTCTCTCACCTCCGCTGGGGTATAATCAAAAAATTGTTCCAGTAATAACAATTGTACGGCATCCTGATTCCCCTGCATCCAATTACTGGCAGCGCGTTGCATACGAAATGCCCACTCCGTATATGAATCTTTTCCTTGTCTTCTGAGCGCCCTGAACTTCCTTCTATGGGCTTCAGGGGTTACAGCATACCGGGCTAACAAAATCTCTTTTATCTTGTCATAGTTTTGTATATCCCCATCTGGCACAGCTCTCAACGCTTCGGCTGCTCTTCCTGATAATTTGCTACCTATTACTGCAGCCCAGTTAGCTCTTTCCAAATTTTCTAATACACATTGTCTTTCAAAATCTTGCAAGTAGTTATCAATATCCATCTCACCTTCCACGAAGCTTTTAAATGCAGCGTAGTTAATTTTCTGCTGCCGCCCCATTGTAGATCCAGATAGCGACATTATATCCACTGGAGGTGATCTGTCTCTGGCTTCTCGTGCTTCCCTGGCGTTCTGGGACTCTGTAGCTTGTGCCAAGATCTGTACCACGATCTCTGGTGCCGGGTTAGGTCCTACCAGGCTAAGTCTCCATCTCACATCCCTCTGGAACTCTGATTCCTCTGTATTCGCCATTTGTGGTTCGCCGGTTTGATCGCTCTCCAGTAGTTCGGCTATTAACGTGGCTTTCGGTTTGTTGCTTGCCACTATGCCTCGAGCTTCCAGCAGTTCCTTCAGTGTAGTTCGTTTCAACCGTTCGTATCTATGCGCCATTCACTGCTTGTTTCAATTCGTTACGTCCGTTCGGGAGGAAATCCCGCCGCTTGCCACCAGTGTAAAGGATCCTTGCATACGTGCAGCGATGATCCTTGCAGCTTCTCCCGAAATCCCGCTGGAACAGAGTGATTATAGCTTCCAATTCCCCAAACATGAGTCGAGACTTCATGAAGGGGTAAAACGACCTGATTTACTGTGGGCTACCCGCCCGGTATTTATGCAGGTCTTCCACCTGGTGGACACTCCCCTAGGGGACCAGATGGAAGACTGGGACAGAAGTAATATAGTAGCCAATCACAGTGGCTATAGGATAAACACTCCCCTTTACACAAATCACTCCCTCTTTCCCATCCTGGAGATAATTAGATTAAGGTAGCAGAGAGAGCCGTAATTATCTCCAGAAGGAAAGAAACATGCCTTTTTGTATTTAGCAAAAACAGAATAAAAATACATAACTTTCTTTTTATATAACATAACCTTTAAGTTCCACACATCCCCAGATAGCTTGGATCTGAGTGCATATTCTAGGCGAATAGCGCTCAGATCCCACGAACACAGGTCCCAGAATCGTCGACTGAAGTTCGACTTTCCCTGGCCGTTCGTGTGTTTGTAACCGATTGCCAGTCCTCTATTATAGCTATCTGGGGTCGATCACTTTCGCATAGTTTAACTCACGAATGAAGCATTATCCCTTCATTCGTATGGTTCCACCGTATGAACGAGGATGGGTGAATGTAGCAGCGGCGTTCGACAAAATATGTCGCTGAAATCAGTTCCAGGGAATCCTCACCATTTGCCACAGTGCGTTCGACAAAACCAAAATGGCGATTGCCACGTGTTCGGGAGGTGAACGCGGACCACCCGCTATACCAATTAGTTTGTGGTTAACCGCAACAGTCAGGGTGGTCAATGAGTGCCACACGACCTCAGTGGGAGGTCGGTGGTTCGGTAGTTTGTTCGCATTATTTGATATTTTCACGAAATCCTGTTGTAATGCTCCAAATAACCGAACAGGCTTGTCCGTGCAGGCTGTGAATAGGGGATTTCGTTACAATTATTGATTTCCTATTGCCTACTCTCTTCTCTAACTTACATGTGGACAGCATTTATTCTCTGAAGATTCACTAGAAGCATTTGAGATATTGGATATATATATCCATATCTTTGTTGCTATATCCCATCAGTCATTACCAATCTATTATAATTTTTTTTTAAATATCTCTAAAGAATATTACAACTGGTACATCTAGCATTCCCTGAGGCAGGGCCGGACTGGGGATACGAAGCAGCCCTGGAAAAAAATCTATGCCAGCCCCATAAGTCTTTGGGCTATGTAGGGTGTTTTTTTTTATATATATTTCAATTGCCTAGATATATATATATATATATATATATATATATATACCTAGGCAATTGAAATAGTTGGCTGCACTCTCGGATTTCCTTTCAATTTAACTTTTATTGAAATATTTAAGAGAAGATCAACGTTTCAGTCCCTCTTGTGGACTTGTATCAGGATCATAACGAATGTCCACAAGAGGGACTGAAACATTGATCTTCTCTTAAATATTTCAATAAAAGTTAAGTTTTAAGGAAATCTGAGAGTGCAGCCAACTATTTCAATTGCCTGGATACTGGAGCCATGGTGATGCAATGTATAGTGATACATTTCTTCTTCTAATTCAAAATATTAGTTCTTTTAGGGTAATTAAATTATACAGTAAAGCATACTGACACACAGACAATCTTACTGATGCACACAAATAGGCTCATTTACAGACAATCTCAATGACACACACAGACAAGGGTACTGGCACACACACAAATTTAGTACAGACAAACTCTGATACACACACAAGCTTACTACAGACAAGCTCACTGTCACACACACACGCTCACTACAGACAAGCTCACTGATGCGCACACACTCTCCCTACAGATAAGCCCATTGACACACACATGCTCCGTACAGAAGAGCTCACTAACACACAGATTCATTAAAGAACAAGCTCACTGACACACACATGCTCACTACAGACAAGCTCACTGACACACATATGGTCACTACAGACAAGCTCACGACCACACTCATGCTTACTACAGACAAGCTCACTGTACACACATGCTCACCACAGACAGGCTCCGACACACCCATGCTCCTTACAGACAAGCTCACTAACACACACACACACACAGGGGCAGACTGAGAGCCTTTGGGGCCCCCGGGCAAAATTAGATCCCAGGCCCTTTGAAGGCCAAATATATGTGCATTAAATAAATGTTAAATATAACTCATAATACGGCATTCCTTTGGATGTGTATATTGTGAAGACCTGTGTATCAATGCATGTTTGTATTTGAGTCTGTGTGAATGCACTTGTGCATGTCTGGATGACTACATGTGCTTTTTATATATAGTGTCTGTGTGAATGCATATGTGACAGGTGACAGAGTGTATGAGGGAGAAGGTGACAGGTGGAAGAGTGTGGGAGGTTGTGACAGGTGGCAGAGTGAGGGGGTACCTGGTGGCAGAGTGAGGGAAGGAGGGGTTGAGTGGTGGCAGAGTGAGGGGGAGACACAGTGAGTGGGGGTGACTGGTGACAGAGGAAGGGAGAGGGGGTGACTAGTGTCAGAGTTAGGGAATGGGTGACTAGTGGCAGAGTGGGGGAGGGAGGGAAGAGATGACTAGTGGCAAAGTGAGGGAGGGAAGAGGTGACTGGTGACAGAGGGAGGGAGTGACTAGTGACAGAGGGAGGGAGTGACTAGTGACAGAGAGAGGGAAGGGGTGACTGTCACTAGTCACCCCCTCACTCTGTCACTAGTCACCCCCTCTGTCCCTAGTCACCCCCTTCCTCACTCTGTCACTAGTCACCCCATCCCTCTCTCTGTCACTAGTCACCCCATCCCTCTCTCTGTCACTAGTCTCTCCCTCCCTAACTCTGTCACTGTGAAGGAAGGGGTGACTGGTGACAGAGTGAGGGGATGACTGGTGACAGAGTGAGGGAAGGGATGACTAGTGGCAGAGTGAGGGAAGGAAGGGATGACTGGTGACAGAGTGAAGGAATGACTGGTGACAGAGTGAGAGAGGGGGTGACTAGTGACAGAGTGAGAGAGGGGGTGACTAGTGACAGAGTGAGGGAGGGAGTGGGTGACTAGTGACAGAGTGAGGAAGGGGTGACACAGTGACAGAGTGAGGAAGGGCACCCCAGTGACACAGTGACAGAGTGAAGGAGGTGGTGACTGTCACTATTCACCCCATCCCTCCCTCTGTCACTAGTCACTCCCTCCCTCACTCTGTCACTAGTAACTCCCTATCTTTGTCACTAGTCACCCCCTCCCTCTCTCTGTCACTAGTCACACCCTCCCTCACTCTGTCACTAGAGTGAGGGGGTGACTAGTGGCAGAGTGAGGGAAGGAAGGGGTTACTAGTGACAGAGTGAGGGGATGACTGGTGACAAAGTGAGGGAGGGAGTGGGTGACCAGTGACAGAGGGAGGGAGGGAGGGAGTGGATGACCAGTGACAGATGGAGGGGGTGACACAGTGACAGAGAGAGGGAGGGGGTGACTAGTGACAAAGATAGGGAGGGAGTTACTAGTGACAGAGTGAGGGAGGGAGTGACTAGTGACAGAGGGAGGGATGGGGTGACTAGTGACAGTCACCACCTCCTTCACTCTGTCACTGTGTCACTGGGGTGCCCTTCCTCACTCTGTCACTGTGTCACCCCTTCCTCACTCTGTCACTAGTCACCCACTCCCTCCCTCACTCTGTCACTAGTCACCCCCTCTCTCACTCTTTCACTAGTCACCCCCTCTCTCACTCTGTCACCAGTCATTCCTTCACTCTGTCACCAGTCATCCCTTCCTTCCCTCACTCTGCCACTAGTCATCCCTTCCCTCACTCTGTCACCAGGCATCCCCTCACTCTGTCACCAGTCACCCCTTCCTTCCTTCACAGTGACAGAGTTAGGGATGGGGTGACTAGTGACAGAGGGAGGGAGGGAGGGAGTGGATGACCAGTGACAGATGGAGGGGGTGACACAGTGACAGAGGGAGGGAGGTGGTGACTGTCACTAGTCACCACCTCCCTCACTCTGTCCCTAGTCACCCCTCCCTCTGTCACTAGTCACCCCCTTCCTCACTCTGTCACTAGTCACCCCCTTCCTCACTCTGTCACTAGAGTGAGGGGGTGACTAGTGGCAGAGTGAGGGAATAAACGGGTGACTAGTGACAGAGTGAGGGAGGTGGTGACTGTCACTAGTCACCACCTCCCTCACTCTGTCACTAGTCACCTCATCCCTCCCTCTGTCACTAATCACAACCTCCCTCACTCTGTCACTAGTCACCCCCTCCCTCTCTCTGTCACTAGTCACACCGTCCCTCACTCTGTCACTAGAGTGAGGGGGTGACAGGTGACAGAGTGAGGGAAGGGGTGACTAGTGGCAGAGTGAGGGGATGACTGGTGACAGAGTGAGGGAGGTGGTGACTAGTGACAAAGTGAGGGAGGTGGTGACTGTCACTAGTCACCACCTCCCTCTGTCACTAGTCACCCCCACCCTCTCTGTGTCACTAGTCACACCCTCCCTCACTCTGTCACTAGAGTGAAGGGGTGACAGGTGACAGAGTGAGGGAAGGGGTGACTAGTGGCAGAGTGAGGGAAGGAAGGGGTGACTAGTGACAGTGAGGAAGGGGGTGACACGGTGACAGAGTGAGGGAGGGGGTGACACAGTGAAGGAGGGGGTGACTGTCACTAGTCACCCCATCCCTCCCTCTGTCACTAATCATCACCTCCCTCACTCTGTCACTAGTCACACCCTCCCTCACTCTGTCACTAGAGTGAGGGGGTGACAGGTGACAGAGTGAGGGGGTGACAGGTGACAGAGTGAGGGAGGGGGTGACTAGTGACAGTGAGGGAGGTGGTGACTGTCACTAGTCACAACCTCCCTCACTCTGTCCCTAGTCACCCCTCCCTCTGTCACTAGTCACCACTTCCCTCCCTCACTCTGTCACTAGTCATCCCCTCCCTCACTCTGTCACTAGAGTGAGGGGGTGACTAGTGACAGAGTGAGGGAAGGGGTGACTAGTGGCAGAGTGAGGAAAGGAAAGGGTTATTAGTGACAGAGTGAGGGAGGTGGTGACTGTCACCAGTCACCACCTCCCTCCTTCTGTCACTACTCCCTCCTTCTGTCACTAGTCACCCCCTCTGTCCCTTACTCTGTCACTAGTCACCCCCTAACTCACTCTGTCACTAGTCATCCCCCTAACTCACTCTGTCACCAGTCATCCGCTCACTCTGTCACCAGTCATCCCTTCCTTCCCTCACTCTGCCACTAGTCACCCCTTCCCTCACTCTGTCACCAGTCATTCCCTCACTCTAGTGACAGAGTGAGGGAGGGTGTGACTAGTGACAGAGTGAGGGAGAGGGTGACTAGTGACAGAGTGAGGGAGTGATTAGTGACAGAGTGAAGGAGGGAATGGGTGACTAGTGACAGAGTGAGGGAGAGGTGACTAGTGACGGGGGGGTTACCTGTGAGGGAGGGTGTGACTAGTGACAGAGGGAGGGAGATGGTGACTAGTGACAGAGGGAGGGAGATGGTGACTAGTGACAGAGGGAGGGAGATGGTGACTGTCACTAGTCACCCCATCCCTAACTCTGTCACTAGTCATCCCCTCACTCTGTCACTAGTCACCCACTCCCGCACTCTGTCACTAGTCACCCCCTCCCTCTGTCACTGTGTCACCCTATTCTTCCCTCTGTCACTGTGTCACCCCATCCCTCCCTATGTCACTATTCATCCCCTCCCTTACTCTGTCACTAATCACCCCGTCCCTCACTCTGTCACTAGTCACCCCCTCCCTCTGTCACTGATCATCCCCTCCCTCACTCTGTCACTAGTCACCCACTCACTCTAGTGACAGAGTGAGGGAGAGGGTGACTAGTGACAGAGTGAGGGAGGGGGTGACTAGTGACAGAGTGAGGGAGGGAAGGGGTGACTAGTGACAGAGTGAGGGAGGGGGATACTAGTGACACAGTGGGGGGGGTGACTAGTGACAGAGTGAGGGAGGGGGTTACTAGTGACACAGTGGGGGGGTGACTAGTGACAGTGGGGGGGGTGACTAGTGACAGTGAGGGGTGATTAGTGACAGTGAGGGGGTGACTAGTGACAGTGAGGGGGGGTGACTAGTGACAGTGAGGGGGGTGACTAGTGACAGTGAGGGGGTGACTAGTGACAGTGAGGGGGGATGGAGGGTGACTAGTGACAGTGAGGGGGGGGTGGAGGGTGACTAGTGACAGTGAGGGGGGGTGGAGGGTGACTAGTGACAGTGAGGGGGGATGGAGGGTGACTAGTGACAGTGAGGGGGTGAGAGTGACTAGTGACAGTGAGGGGGGGATGGAGGGTGACTAGTGACAGTGAGGGGGGGTGGAGGGGTGACTAGTGACAGTGAGGGGGAGGGTGACTAGTGACAGTGAGGGGGGGTGGAGGGTGACTAGTGACAGTGAGGGGGGGTGGAGGGTGACTAGTGACAGTGAGGGGGGATGGAGGGTGACTAGTGACAGTGAGGGGGGTGGAGGGTGACTAGTGACAGTGAGGGGGGAGGGGGTGATTAGTACCTACCTGTGTCTCTGCTCCCTCTGCTCTCTCCCAGGCTGCTGCTCCTTCCCCTCGCTGGGCTCTGTGTGAGAGGAGTAAACAGGAAGTGATGTCACTTCCTGGCCCCTCTCCCCATCACACAGAGCACCGCGTGGGACAGGGAGAAGGAGACCTGGCAGAGAGGGAGAGGAGGTGAAGCTGCCAGGTCTCATGGGAGGAGGGGGGGCTGCATCAGGGGCCCCACAACCTATCAATTAAAAAGTTGTTGTTTTTTTTGCCGTTCCAGTTGGAGAGATCTCTGATCTGATCTCTCCAGCTGGAGCATGGCTGTGCTGCCGGGCCCCTGACTGCCTCGGGCCCTGGTCAGTCCGCCCCTGCACACACACATATGATCCCTACAGAAAAGCTCACTGACACACATACAAGCTCACTCACTAGCAGGCACACACACACACACACACAAACTCACTAGCAGGCACACACACACAGAGGCTCCCTCACTAGTAGATGCGCGCGCACACACACACACACACACAGAGGCAGACAGTCACTGACACCGAGGCAAACATCCACACATACAGAGACAGGCAGACAGCCACACACACACACAGACAGACAGTCACACACACACAGGCAGACAGCCACATACACAGGCAGACAACCACACACACACACACCGGCAGACAGTCACACACTCACAGGCAGACAGTCACACACACACAGGCAGTCACACACACAGACAGTCACACACACACACACACACACAGACAGTCACAGGCAGAAAGTCACACACACACACAGTCACACAAACAGGTAGACAGTGACACACACATGCAGTCATACACACAGTCACACAGACACAGACAGTCATACATACAGACAGTAATACATACAGACAGTCACACACACAGACAGTCTCACACACACATACTGTCACACACACAGACAGTCACACACACACACACACACAGCCAGTCACTGACTGTCACACACACAGTCACACACACAGACACACACAGGCAGTCACACACTCAGTCACACACACAGACAGACACACACACTCACAGGCAGTCACACACAGACACACTGACCTCCTTCTTACCTCCTGCTTGGAGCTCCTGGAGGCTGGTTGTTGAGGAAGCAGGGACTCCTTCCTGCTTCCCATGCTGCAGTTAGCCAGGCCCCCGCTGCACAGTAAGCTCCGCCCCTGCCGCATGCTAAGCCACGCCCCCGCCTGAAATTATTATTATTTCTTTATGATCCCGGCCGGCCAGCTGTGCCGGCCACCTGGCTGCTCCCATGGGGTCCTGTACGGTCGCACAGCTCACACATAGCCGGGATTACAGGAGCCTGAGCAATGATTAGGGCTGTCAGCCCAGCCCCAGGTGCCGCGGCCCACCGGAAAATTTCCCGGTATCCTGGTGGGCCAGTTCGGCCATGTTCTTCACTTCATAGTTTTAACACCAATTGTAGCCAAATTTAGCCATACATTTTATGTTTTATTTTTTTTCTTCACATACCTTTAGAAATATAAAAGTGAAATTCACAAGTGTTGTGTGTTCTAGTAGTTAAAAGACCCCACATTTTTATTCATTCTGCATCTCCAGAGTAGGGCCGGTGCAAATATTTTTGGCTACACTGGCAAAGACACATAAAGTGAGGACTGCTATATATATAAAGCTGATTGAGTTTCTTCCATTGATGCATCAAGTTAATTTAATATCACTTTTTCTTTTTCTGTATTTTCAGGAGTATCATTTTACATTTGATGGAGTTTTCAATTTTAGTAAGGATCAGGTATGTCCAATAACAGTTTAATGTATAATTAAGGATAAAAAAATGTATTTTACCTATTTTCACAGCCCTCGGCCACCATTTTGGCAGGTCTAATGTCTAGATAGTTTGGATGGGATCCTCATGTAGGATCCTCAGGGATGTAATAAATGTCATGGACAATGTGCTAGACAAAAAAAAGAAGGGTGATCTCTCATGTTCATATGTGTCAAGGTGATATGATGACCACTAGGAGAGCTGATCAGGGCTGACAATATGCTAATAGTTTTTCCCAGATGGACTTAAATGCAATGGATTTCAATACAAGAGCAGCACAAGTGTACCTCACAACATATTAATGGGAAAAAGATGTACACGTTCATTTTAGGGGTGTAAGTGGGTGTGGGTGTAAGGGTGTGGCCAGAGTCGGGCTCTTATGAGAAAATGTAGGCTAGTAATAGCAATTTATTCAACTAAAATATAATTTAGAACAGGATTAAATCATCTTATTTCCACAGACTGATTTTAACACATTTATTCTAGTTTAAACACACATTACAGCGAGTATTGATGTGGACTTCATTTATACACTCTCATAGACCAACAATACGGAGCTGCTAGAAAAGATGGTCATTAGGATAGAAAAGAGGGACAGAGGGATTTGGGCCCAACATAGGGAATGCCCCTCCTAAATAGGGACACTTGGGAGGTATTCAAGTGCTGGTAATCATGCATTTGAGCTGTTGGTTAAGTGAATTGGTGGATCTGATCAGAGGTTTATAGGATACATTATTCAGTCGACACCTGCAATTCCATTTTCTAGTGTGAAAATGCTTTATAAACTAAACTCAGCCTGAGCACAGCCATATCTTGTGTTGTCCAGAGCTAGAGAGAAGGAGGAGAAATATCCTTGCCTCCGTGACTGAGATCATCAGAATTGACAAGCTCTGTCAATCCAATGCTTTCCCACAGGAAAGCATTGGAAGGCTGTTGCAAAATACCACACTGCGCCAATCAGTATTTCCTCATAGAGCGCTTTGAATCAATGCATCTCTATGGGGAACATACAGAGCCTTCATGCAGAGCAGGAAGCACCTCTACTGGCTGTTTGAAAAGGCAGCATTTATATTAAAAAGCCTGCAGAGTCAGGCTATAGACACCAGAACAACTACTTTAGCTGTATTCTGGTCACTATAGTGTCCCTTTAAAACCACCTGCCTAATATCATGTAAGTCCCTCTCATGCTGCCAAAAGAACTCTGATGTGTCATGTACTTTACAAGACTTCTGAACATGTTCTGATGCCTTCATGGATTGGCTTTGTTGTTCCAGCACATCGTACAGTTGTTCAATAGGAATAAGATGTGGCCAAGGCAACACATAGAACTCTTTGTGATATTACTCAAACCTTTTATGAATAAGTTTTGCGTGGCAGAGTGTATTATACTGCTGAAAACGGTTACTGTCATCTGGAACACAATTAGCACGAAGAGGTGCACATGATCTGCAGCACTCTCTAATTAGGTGGTATGTGTCAATGTAGCGCCCACATGAATGCGGGAACCCACGGTGTATTGCACAGAGCACAACATTGCCTCCATCAGCTTGTCTTCTTCCCATAGTGCATCCAGCTGTCATCTCTTCCTAAGTTAAATGATGAACAGGCACCCAGCCATCCACCTGATGTAAAAGAAATTGTGATGGACCCCTTGGATGGCGGCCCCGGCGGTTTGCCGAACGGACCGGGGCCGCAAAAGATTATGGCGGCGGATACCCGGTCACAGGGGTCCACAGGGCGGCCATGCCCCCTGGAGTGGCAGGCCCAGTCGCAGCTGTGACCCCTGCGACCGCGGTATGTACGCCGCTGCATCATGGGCACTCTGACCGGTCTGTAGCTATGCAACCCCCAACACAGCCTACTATGATGCACTGTGTGTTCTAAAACATTTCTAGCATACCCAACATTAAGTTTTTCAGCAATTTGAGCTACAATACCTCTTTTCTGTGATTGGTCCAAATGGGCTAGCCTTTACTCCCGACGTGCATTAATAAGCGTTGGGCGCCCGTAACCCTGTTCACTGGTTGTCCTTCCTTGCATCACTTTTCCTTTCCATCCAGGAAGGAAACAGGGTTATGGGGGTGGAACGCATGAGCATTACAACAACTCCAGATGACTTGGAGATGTGATGTGGAATACATGTGTGTTCCAAGGACTCCAGCCAACTTGGAAATATGACATGGAACGCAAATGTGTTCCAAGGACTCCAGACGATCTGGAAGTGTGTCACGGATTGCAGATAAATCCGGAAGTCGACGTAGAATGATGTGTTCCAATAAGAAGTGCTACCTGTAAAACTAAAAAAATTCTCATAAGCACAAAAGTAAACACAGGTGATCCTACGAGAACTAATTGACTGAAGGTGGGAGGTGGGACTTTTTGGATTTATATACCCTTGGAGAATGGAGACTTCATTATGCTGTATGAATTGTGGACTCCTAAACTTTGTGCCTCTGAAGAGGTCTGAGCAACCATGATATGACAAGTTGAGGGCTGTTTTAATTAATGCTATTTATTGTGTTTAAAGAACAATGAGTGAGTAGAGCCAAATTAGATACACAGTAGAAATGGGGGGTAACCCCTAGTAGAAAACGAAAAGTACAAAAAGAGGAATGTATCTAATACATGATGCGAGATATATGCATCAAGAAAAGGGGTTTCAAAATAGCCAACAAAAAGCCTGCTATCTAGGCCAGACAGATCCACTAAAATAAAAGAACAAAAAATAATAAAGATTTATTGAACACTACAAAAATGTAACCCAAATGTGTGCTACCAAATAAACACCAAAAAATAAAAATATATAAAAATAAGTCGTTGAATATGATAAAAACAAAATATAATTGCAGATCAAAATATGAAAAACTATTGCTATCGGTAGTGGCTGGTAATTAGTCAAGCTAGAAAAGCAGAATGCCGATCTGATGGATCAATGATCAGTAGTGTGGTCTGGTACTATGGAAACCAAAACTAAGCTTGTAGATCGATATAGGTCCTATCAACAAGTAAATGTGACACAATCTAGAAAGCTGTTCCTGTCCATAGTGGCTAATAGTGTGCCATACATTCAAAAATCCTGGTGGCTCAACAATGAATTATAAAGTCTGTTGCTTTAAATGTCAAAAAATGCTATTGGACTATATGGGTCCTTTAAATATCTGAGACATTTATTTTAATGAACTAGTGAAACCATAAATATCGGTAAATGAAAGAAAAATAAGATCATTAAATAAACGTTGAGCTGATATTCAAACCAGTATTGAAGTGGCTAGAGTGGTAATCCAAATAAAAGGATACCACTAATTGACTAGATATAAAGAGTGTATATAGAGGATATATAGAACGGCAACAACCAGAAATCACTATACCGACAGTAAAGCATACATAAGAATATCTAGGAGGGAGAGAGTAGAACAAAAGACACATGTATAAATCAAGTAGCAATAACCCGTGCTACAAAGTATCATATACCAGGAACGTCCAATGATACAAACAGTTGATAACAGTATGATAAAAGGTAACACCCTCTAATTCATTGTTGAGCCACCAGGATTTTTGAATGTATGGCACACTATTAGCCACTATGGACAGGAACAGCTTTCTAGATTGTGTCACATTTACTTGTTGATAGGACCTATATCGATCTACAAGCTTAGTTTTGGTTTCCATAGTACCAGACCACACTACTGATCATTGATCCATCAGATCGGCATTCTGCTTTTCTAGCTTGACTAATTACCAGCCACTACCGATAGCAATAGTTTTTCATATTTTGATCTGCAATTATATTTTGTTTTTATCATATTCAACGACTTATTTTTATATATTTTTTTTTTTTGGTGTTTATTTGGTAGCACACATTTGGGTTACATTTTTGTAGTGTTCAATAAATCTTTATTATTTTTTGTTCTTTTATTTTAGTGGATCTGTCTGGCCTAGATAGCAGGCTTTTTGTTGGCTATTTTGAAACCCCTTTTCTTGATGCATATATCTCGCATCATGTATTAGATACATTCCTCTTTTTGTACTTTTTATTTATTGTGTTTATTTTGTTTTATGTTCTTTATTTAATTGTTTTTTTTCCTACAAATTACCTGAGAGGAGTTTGGATATTCCTATCTTGTACCAAACACTTTGTACAAGCAGATGTATAAAGTCAGATGTAGACTTCCAGCTTCAATGCTATTTTGATAGGCTTTATCTCATTGGTTTTCTTGTTTTTTAACCATTAAAGCTGTTTTAGAAGACAGAATATATTGCACTATGTTTTTCTAAAGAGTTGAATAATCTGAAAAGTGAAGTGCCATTTTATTTAAAAAGTTTAACTAATAAATGTATGAGTTATTACCCTATATTTGCCTTATCTTTTACAATTGTAGATAGCTAGTTGTTATGGAATTCTATTTGTAAGAACACAGAGGAGTTCTAAATGTGTCTACATTGTTATAGTGAAGGGTAATACCATCTTCACTGAATTTGAATTTTGTTGGTTTACACTGTCTTTTGTGGGTGTGTGTTGGTTTAAGGTTGTAATGTTGTGGACGATTAGTGTATATTCTCAGTTAGTTACTGAGGAAGTGTTAATGGAAACTCCCAGGCACGGATGCCAGACTCTTTAATCTCCGTTCCTTTGCTGTAAGTAGAATGCAGAGGGAAAGTAATTTTAAACCCTGTTGCTTATGGAGGCAGTTATGCAGCAAACTACATACCGGTACATTTTTTTTTTCAAATTTGTTAAGGACCTGCGCTATTGCAAGTAGTGTACAAGATTTCTCAGGTGGGGGATTTTACAGTAAAATTCGTCACTCCACAGAACATGTTCCCACTGCTCCAGAGTCCATTGCAGCATGCTTTACACCACTCGATCCAAGGCTTGGCCTTGTACTTGGTGATGTAAGGCTTGCATGCAGCTGCTCGCCCATGAAAACCCATTCCATGACACTTAGTATTTGGGCTGACATTATTGCCAGTGGAAGTTTGGAACTTTTCAGCACAGCGTGAATTTTATGCACCATTCGCCTCAGCAATGTGACTACGTGGTCTTCCTTTACTGCTGTTCCTAAACACTTTCACTTTCCTATAATACCACTTGCAGTTGACTTTGGAATATTTAGCAGCAATTATATTTCACGAACTGACTTATTGCACTGGTGGCATCTGTGACAAAATGCCTTTTGTCACTGGATTTTTATGTGACCAACTGCCCTTTGCCCCTGGCTTTTGGAGGAGCCTGATTGCCAGCCTCCTGCCTCATGACTATGGCCCTGGGGTGTATGGCCCTTGCAAAACTGTAACCCCATGATGATTTGACTGTGTTCGTGGGATCTGAGCGCTGTTCGGATATATTGAGCGCTCAGATCCAAGCTATCTGTGGATAGGTTGAATGTGGGGGTTCTGTTCAGTATGATAGGAATTATGTATATTTGTGTATTTTTGCTGTTGTTGTTAATAGAGATATTTTCTGTACCTGGAGATAATCGACTTACCACACCCAAGCCATGCTTGCAGTCGGTCAAAAAGGACTTCCATCTAACTTTTGAACCACTGGACCAATTTGTATGATTTTGACATATGTTTGTATATTGCGTATGCTGGTTCAGAATATGTAAGTTATGTGAATGTGATGTATACTTTTAAAGTTATTAATATTGTGCAAAACTGTATATTTTCCTGCCTGTGATAATTACGTTAGCCCATTGTGTTCAGTAATTATATCACAGGCAGAGGGGAGGATTTTGCTGTAATGAATGGGAGTGTCAGACATTGTTGTATTGTTTTGATTGGTTTGTGTCCTTTGTATGCCTGTGTACCATCAGGTCCAGGGGGTGTGGGTCTGGCCTGGGGAATTGTATAAATTGTGAGTGCTTGCTTCCATTTAAACATAACTGCTTTACCCCCTCATGAAGTCTTGGCTCATGTTTGGGGGATGGAATGACTACACTCTGGGAATTGCTATATCACAATACCCCCTGAGTTTAAGCCCTTAAGGACACATGACATGTGTGACATGTCATGATTCCCTTTTATTCCAGAAGTTTGGTCCTTAAAGGTTTAAGCTCTTGTAAGAGTTTGTTCCTGGTTCCTGCTCTCTGGATCTAAGAGAGGTCTACCCACTGGGAGCTAAACCCTGGTCTTGGGTCCAGAGTGGGTGGAGGACGGCGAAAACCCCAACCAAGCTACGGCGGTTCGTGGGTTTGACGGTGGTTGTGGTGTCGAGTGCGGTGCTGATGGTCCTTGGCGAGAACTAGGAGCATCTTTTGATGGAGGCACCCAGTCGGGTGGCAGGCGTTCCATCACACTGGTGGCAGCGGCAGGATGGCGTCCTAGTGCAAGCAGAAGCAGCGAGGAGACACCGGTAACGTGTGGAGTATATTGAGGGCAACGCTAGTATCCCTACAGCGGCCCTGACTACAACAAACATGACGATCAGCTACACTGAGGCAGAGTTTGACGCTATGATGAAGCTGCGGCTGGATTTCTTCGGACCCAATCCAGCTGAGAAATTCGTAGAGTTCACGAGGAACCTAGTGCTTGAGACCCTGCAGCGCAGGGCAGAGAGGGCAGACAAGTTGGCACGTTTGGAGAGACCCCAGTAGCAGTTTACCTTGCAGGGAGAAGAGTCGGTCGGTCTCCCTCCCCAGCGGCATTGCATCTCACAGGGAGAGGAGACAACCAGTCTCTCTCCCCAGCGGCAGGGTGAGTTACAGAGAGAGGAAACTGTCGGTCCCTCATCTCAGCAGCAGAAAGAATCACTGGGAGTGGAGATGGTCGCTACCACTACCCAGCACCAGGCAGCGTTACCGGGAGTCGAGACAGTCGGTCTGACTCGCCAGCAGCAGTGTGTTGTTAAGGGAGAAGAGACAACCAGTCTCTCTCCCCAGTGGCAGCCAGCATCTCAGGGAGAGGAGATTGTTGGCCCCTTGTCCCTGCAGCAACCATCATCACCGGGAGTCGAGACAGTCGGTCTGATTCCCCAGCGGCAGTGTGTTTTCAAGGGAGAAGAGACAACCGGTCTCTCTCCCCAGCGGCAGCCAGTATCCCAGGGAGAGGAGATTTCGGTCCCTCGTCCATGCAGCAACCATCATCACTGGAAGTGGAGATGGTCACTACCCCTATCCAGGCTATCCCAGCAGAAGCGCTGGCATCGGGGCAGAGTGCAGCTGGCCTCTGTCCCCCAAGTCCCCATAGCGTGTTGCCCAGTACCACCAGAGGAACCACCAGGTGCAGTAAATGTGTGTTGTGGGTAGGCTACTCATGTACTTGTTCACTGTGGGTTGGTTTATCGACTAACTCAGGCACCGACCGACAGACTCCCCCCCCCCAAAGGGGAGATGTGTGACAAAATGCCTTTTGTAAATGGATTTTTATGTGACCAACTGCCCTTTGCCCCTGGCTTTTAGAGGAGCCTGATTGCCAGCCTCCTGCCTCATGACTATGGCCCTGGGGTGTATGGCCCTTGCAAAACTTTAACCCCATGACAATTTGACTATGTTCGTGGGATCTGAGCGCTGTTCAGATACATTGAGCGCTCAGAACCAAGCTATCTGGGGATAGGTTGAATGTGGGGGTTCTGTTCAGTATGAAAGGAATTATGTATTTTTGTGTATTTTTGCTGTTGTTGTGAATAGAGATATTTTCTGTACCTGTAGATAATTGGCTTACCACACCCAAGCCATGCTTGCTGTCGATCAAAAAGGACTTCCATCTAACTTTTGAACCACTGGACCAATTTGTATGATTTTGACTTATGTTTGTATACTGCGTATGCTGGTACAGAATATGTAAGTTTATGTGAATGTGATGTATACTTTTAAAGTTATGAATATTGTGTAAAACTGTATATTTTCCTGCCTGTGATAATTACATTAGCCCAGTGTGTTCAGTAATTATATCACAGACAGAAGGGAGGATTTTGCTGTAATGAATGGGAGTGTCAGACATTGTTGTATTGTTTTGATTGGTTTGTGTCCTTTGTATGCCTGTGTACCATCAGGTCCAGGGGGTGTGGGTCTGGCCTGGGGAATTGTATAAATTGTGAGTGCTTGCTTCCATTTAAACATAACTGCTTTACCCCCTCATGAAGTCTTGGCTCATGTTTGGGGGATGGAATGACTACACTCTGGGAATTGCTATATCACAATACCCCCTGAGTTTAAGCCCTTAAGGACACATGACATGTGTGACATGTCATGATTCCCTTTTATTCCAGAAGTTTGGTCCTTAAAGGTTTAAGCTCTTGTAAGAGTTTGTTCCTGGTTCCTGCTCTCTGGATCTAAGAGAGGTCTACCCACTGGGAGCTAAACCCTGGTCTTGGGTCCAGAGTGGGTGGAGGACGGCGAAAACCCCAACCAAGCTACGGCGGTTCGTGGGTTTGACGGTGGTTGTGGTGTCGAGTGCGGTGCTGATGGTCCTTGGCGAGAACTAGGAGCATCTTTTGATGGAGGCACCCAGTCGGGTGGCAGGCGTTCCATCACACTGGTGGCAGCGGCAGGATGGCGTCCTAGTGCAAGCAGAAGCAGCGAGGAGACACCGGTAACGTGTGGAGTATATTGAGGGCAACGCTAGTATCCCTACAGCGGCCCTGACTACAACAAGCATGACGATCAGCTACACTGAGGCAGAGTTTGACGCTATGATGAAGCTGCGGCTGGATTTCTTCGGACCCAATCCAGCTGAGAAATTCGTAGAGTTCACGAGGAACCTAGTGCTTGAGACCCTGCAGCGCAGGGCAGAGAGGGCAGACAAGTTGGCACGTTTGGAGAGACCCCAGTAGCAGTTTACCTTGCAGGGAGAAGAGTTGGTCGGTCTCCCTCCCCAGCGGCATTGCATCTCACAGGGAGAGGAGACAACCGGTCTCTCTCCCCAGCGGCAGGGTGAGTTACAGAGAGAGGAAACTGTCGGTCCCTCATCTCAGCAGCAGAAAGAATCACTGGGAGTGGAGATGGTCGCTACCACTACCCAGCACCAGGCAGCGTTACCGGGAGTCGAGACAGTCGGTCTGACTCGCCAGCAGCAGTGTGTTGTTAAGGGAGAAGAGACAACCAGTCTCTCTCCCCAGTGGCAGCCAGCATCTCAGGGAGAGGAGATTGTTGGCCCCTTGTCCCTGCAGCAACCATCATCACCGGGAGTCGAGACAGTCGGTCTGATTCCCCAGCGGCAGTGTGTTTTCAAGGGAGAAGAGACAACCGGTCTCTCTCCCCAGCGGCAGCCAGTATCCCAGGGAGAGGAGATTTCGGTCCCTTGTCCATGCAGCAACCATCATCACTGGAAGTGGAGATGGTCACTACCCCTATCCAGGCTATCCCAGCAGAAGCGCTGGCATCGGGGCAGAGTGCAGCTGGCCTCTGTCCCCCAAGTCCCCATAGCGTGTTGCCCAGTACCACCAGAGGAACCACCAGGTGCAGTAAATGTGTGTTGTGGGTAGGCTACTCATGTACTTGTTCACTGTGGGTTGGTTTATCGACTAACTCAGGCACCGACCGACAGACTCCCCCCCCCCCAAAGGGGAGATGTGTGACAAAATGCCTTTTGTAAATGGATTTTTATGTGACCAACTGCCCTTTGCCCCTGGCTTTTAGAGGAGCCTGATTGCCAGCCTCCTGCCTCATGACTATGGCCCTGGGGTGTATGGCCCTTGCAAAACTTTAACCCCATGACGATTTGACTATGTTCGTGGGATCTGAGCGCTGTTCAGATACATTGAGCGCTCAGAACCAAGCTATCTGGGGATAGGTTGAATGTGGGGGTTCTGTTCAGTATGAAAGGAATTATGTATTTTTGTGTATTTTTGCTGTTGTTGTGAATAGAGATATTTTCTGTACCTGGAGATAATTGGCTTACCACACCCAAGCCATGCTTGCTGTCGATCAAAAAGGACTTCCATCTAACTTTTGAACCACTGGACCAATTTGTATGATTTTGACTTATGTTTGTATACTGCGTATGCTGGTACAGAATATGTAAGTTTATGTGAATGTGATGTATACTTTTAAAGTTATGAATATTGTGTAAAACTGTATATTTTCCTGCCTGTGATAATTACATTAGCCCAGTGTGTTCAGTAATTATATCACAGACAGAAGGGAGGATTTTGCTGTAATGAATGGGAGTGTCAGACATTGTTGTATTGTTTTGATTGGTTTGTGTCCTTTGTATGCCTGTGTACCATCAGGTCCAGGGGGTGTGGGTCTGGCCTGGGGAATTGTATAAATTGTGAGTGCTTGCTTCCATTTAAACATAACTGCTTTACCCCCTCATGAAGTCTTGGCTCATGTTTGGGGGATGGAATGACTACACTCTGGGAATTGCTATATCACAATACCCCCTGAGTTTAAGCCCTTAAGGACACATGACATGTGTGACATGTCATGATTCCCTTTTATTCCAGAAGTTTGGTCCTTAAAGGTTTAAGCTCTTGTAAGAGTTTGTTCCTGGTTCCTGCTCTCTGGATCTAAGAGAGGTCTACCCACTGGGAGCTAAACCCTGGTCTTGGGTCCAGAGTGGGTGGAGGACGGCGAAAACCCCAACCAAGCTACGGCGGTTCGTGGGTTTGACGGTGGTTGTGGTGTCGAGTGCGGTGCTGATGGTCCTTGGCGAGAACTAGGAGCATCTTTTGATGGAGGCACCCAGTCGGGTGGCAGGCGTTCCATCACACTGGTGGCAGCGGCAGGATGGCGTCCTAGTGCAAGCAGAAGCAGCGAGGAGACACCGGTAGCGTGTGGAGTATATTGAGGGCAACGCTAGTATCCCTACAGCGGCCCTGACTACAACAAGCATGACGATCAGCTACACTGAGGCAGAGTTTGACGCTATGATGAAGCTGCGGCTGGATTTCTTCGGACCCAATCCAGCTGAGAAATTCGTAGAGTTCACGAGGAACCTAGTGCTTGAGACCCTGCAGCGCAGGGCAGAGAGGGCAGACAAGTTGGCACGTTTGGAGAGACCCCAGTAGCAGTTTACCTTGCAGGGAGAAGAGTCGGTCGGTCTCCCTCCCCAGCGGCATTGCATCTCACAGGGAGAGGAGACAACCAGTCTCTCTCCCCAGCGGCAGGGTGAGTTACAGAGAGAGGAAACTGTCGGTCCCTCATCTCAGCAGCAGAAAGAATCACTGGGAGTGGAGATGGTCGCTACCACTACCCAGCACCAGGCAGCGTTACCGGGAGTCGAGACAGTCGGTCTGACTCGCCAGCAGCAGTGTGTTGTTAAGGGAGAAGAGACAACCAGTCTCTCTCCCCAGTGGCAGCCAGCATCTCAGGGAGAGGAGATTGTTGGCCCCTTGTCCCTGCAGCAACCATCATCACCGGGAGTCGAGACAGTCGGTCTGATTCCCCAGCGGCAGTGTGTTTTCAAGGGAGAAGAGACAACCGGTCTCTCTCCCCAGCGGCAGCCAGTATCCCAGGGAGAGGAGATTTCGGTCCCTTGTCCATGCAGCAACCATCATCACTGGAAGTGGAGATGGTCACTACCCCTATCCAGGCTATCCCAGCAGAAGCGCTGGCATCGGGGCAGAGTGCAGCTGGCCTCTGTCCCCCAAGTCCCCATAGCGTGTTGCCCAGTACCACCAGAGGAACCACCAGGTGCAGTAAATGTGTGTTGTGGGTAGGCTACTCATGTACTTGTTCACTGTGGGTTGGTTTATCGACTAACTCAGGCACCGACCGACAGACTCCCCCCCCCCAAAGGGGAGATGTGTGACAAAATGCCTTTTGTAAATGGATTTTTATGTGACCAACTGCCCTTTGCCCCTGGCTTTTAGAGGAGCCTGATTGCCAGCCTCCTGCCTCATGACTATGGCCCTGGGGTGTATGGCCCTTGCAAAACTTTAACCCCATGACGATTTGACTATGTTCGTGGGATCTGAGCGCTGTTCAGATACATTGAGCGCTCAGAACCAAGCTATCTGGGGATAGGTTGAATGTGGGGGTTCTGTTCAGTATGAAAGGAATTATGTATTTTTGTGTATTTTTGCTGTTGTTGTAAATAGAGATATTTTCTGTACCTGGAGATAATTGGCTTACCACACCCAAGCCATGCTTGCTGTCGATCAAAAAGGACTTCCATCTAACTTTTGAACCACTGGACCAATTTGTATGATTTTGACTTATGTTTGTATACTGCGTATGCTGGTACAGAATATGTAAGTTTATGTGAATGTGATGTATACTTTTAAAGTTATGAATATTGTGTAAAACTGTATATTTTCCTGCCTGTGATAATTACATTAGCCCAGTGTGTTCAGTAATTATATCACAGACAGAAGGGAGGATTTTGCTGTAATGAATGGGAGTGTCAGACATTGTTGTATTGTTTTGATTGGTTTGTGTCCTTTGTATGCCTGTGTACCATCAGGTCCAGGGGTGTGCCTCTGGCCTGGGGAATTGTATAAATTGTGAGTGCTTGCTTCCATTAAACAGAACTGCTTTACCCCTTCATAAAGTCTTGGCTCATGTTTGGGGGATGGGATAACTACACTCTGGGGATTGATATATCACAATACTCCCCTGAGTTTAAGCTCCTGTAAGAGCTTGTTCCTGGTTCCTGCTCTCTGGATCTAAGAGAGGTCTACCCACTGGAAGCTGAACCATGGTCTTCGGTCTAGAGTGGGTGGAGGACAGCGAAACCCCAACCAAGCTACGGTAGTTAGTGGGTTTGACGGTGGTTGTGGTGTCGAGTGCGGCGCTGATGGTCCTTGGCGAGAACTAGGAGCATCTTTTGATGGAGGCACCCAGTCGGGGTGGCAGGCGTTTCGTCACAGCATCCTATCACAGTACCACACTTAAATTCACTGAGCTCTTGTTTGTATATGCAGGCTGCATGGCTAGGTGCTAGACTTTATACACCTGTGGCAATGGGTCTGATTGAAACACCTGATTTAAACTATTTAGAGGTATTTCCCAATATGTTTGTCCATACAGTGCATCTTTGTCACTATCTACATCATTGCTTTTGGAACACAAGACAAACAGCTAGGTTAATAACTGTACAAACCACTTTGTTAATAGATGCAAATTTTATTTGAATAGTCAAATGCTTTATGCTGTCGCACATGTACAAATATAACTTGCATAGATGTACATTTACTTTCTGATTTCTGGTTTCCTGTTACTTGTTTCAGGATAAAGCACTGTCAGATCTCATTCAGTCTATGCTTAACTCAGTTTTATCCGGATACAATGTGTCCATTTTATTATGTGGCATTGACAACCCTGGCATGGATTCCATCCTCGGAGGAAAGGGGAACCAGCTTGGTCTAATTTTTCAGGTAAGCCTTTTCTAGATTATTTACACTGATGGAACAGGATGTATGCAACTTGCTTTAAGACTTTGTCTATTTATTTGTTTGGTTTTATACAATCCATCAGTCCAGTGCACTTCACATGAATTATTAAAAATACTGTAATTAATGAATAAATCATTAATATTATTAGCAAATATTATGACTATTGTTATTTATTATCATCACTTATAAACATTGTTAGTTAGAATGCAATTATAGACTGCCGTACATTATACAGTGATATACAATACAAATTATTTTAATCAGGCAGAATCAGACTGGTTTGATGTGATACTGGTCATTAAGACGCATAAGGCAGTCCTCCAGGAGCCCCAAGAGATGTACCAGTGCTCATTAGTGAATCTTAGTTTGTTATTACCAAGTAATATTATGTCGTTCATAACAGGGCTTTTTTGTAACTTGATCACTCCACATTTTATGTCTTTTTTTTCAAAGGTAATTTGCTTCTTATTCATTTAAATTAGAACCATCACTTCTCTGGAAATTCCATCATTGCATAAAACATTAAAGGGTATATCCAAGATTTTAAGTGGTGATGGTGCCTGGAGATTCACTATGAATTGCTGCTCAGAGTTTAACCCCTCTGCTACTGGTGATGTAATGCCACCTCTGCAGCGTCATTGTGGTGTCATTAGTCAGCCCAGTCCCAATTGCTGAAACTCAAGCTTTTTAAAAGTACACTTCATCTTTGGAAGCACATCTTGGTACTATTATCCGGGTTTTTAATTCACTAGTATTGCATAAACGCCTGAATATGGGTGGAAGCATTGAATAGCGTCTTTAATATCCAGGACTAAAAGCAGAATGTTTACATTGTTTATTAATTCGCTTGTTTCATCGTGTAAATGGCACCTAGTTTGGGAGGTTTACATGTTCACCTGTTCCAACTTCTCTTTTCAGATAATAGAACTTGCTTTTCAAGGTGTCCATCCTACAGACCAAGAGGATTCCTTGGTTACTGTAGCCTTCATGCAGGTATCATCAGATGGCTTGGTATCTTACTTGCTCTAATGAAAACACAATGGTGGACATGTAGTTAGTACAGGTGTTAGGAAAGGTAATCCAGCTCATTGTGTTGTGTCTTTAAAATCTACTTTGTTATGAAAATCAAAGATGGCGGTGCCGGCAGGAGAAAGCATGAGGTAAGTATAACTCATCTCTGCTGCACCCCAGGGGCAATCATGGTACTCTGTACCCCGAACAGAGATGTCACCATCAGAGGTCTTTGCAAATATGCAGAGATCCCACTAGGTGACAGAGCAACTTTAAATATGCATATATAGATCAATTTGTCACTTAAAGGACCACTCTAGGCACCCAGACCACTTCAGCTTAATGAAGTGGTCTGGGTGCCAGGTCCAGCTAGGGTTAACCCATGTTTTAATAAACATAGCAGTTTCAGAGAAACTGCTATGTTTATTAATGGGTTAAGCCTTCCCTCAAATCCTCTAGTGGCTGTCTCATTGACATCCACTAGAGGCGCTTGCGTGCTTCTCACTGTGATTTTCACAGTGAGAGCACTCCAGCGTCCATAGGAAAGCATTGTAAATGCTTTCCTATGCGACCTGCTGAATGCGCGCGCAGCTCTTGCCGCGCGTGCGCATTCAGCCGACGGGGAGGAGAAGAGGAGGAGAGAAGGAGGAGAGCTCTCCGCCCAGCGCTGGAAAAAGGTAAGTTTAAACCCCTTTCCCCTTTCCAGAGCCACGCGGGAGGGGGACCCTGAGGGTGGGGGCACCCTCAGGGCACTATAGTGCCAGGAAAACTAGTATGTTTTCCTGGCACTATAGTGGTCCTTTAAAGAAGAGCTGTCAGTTTAAACCATTAGCCAAAATGCTAAAATAACACCAATAACTTGTATTAATCCTAACAAAAATGCCCAGTTCCAAAAATAAATGCAGTGAAACCTGACGAAAAACATATTTGCTAAATGTAGTAGATATGTTTGGGTCATATTAAAAAATCTGAGAAAGTGTCAGCTCCACTTAAAAGTTATTTCACAAACAATAATACACAAACTCATCCCATCTTGACTGCTATAATTTTCGTTCTATTGGCAATCACTAAATCAAACTTGTTAAACTTAAATTCATGAAAAAACGCTTCTTAGCTCAAAACACGAAACTACACCCAGAACAACAAAACAGGCAAACTACTTGCCACACAACTAAGACTCAAATACGCCCAAAATAAGATCCCATACATCTTAACCACAGAGGGGAAAAAAATGTACAACCCACAGAACATAGTGGATGAACTAGCCAAATACTACACCACACTCTACAATCTAAAAACAGATGCACAAACACACCAACCCACTACACCTGAGATCCAATCCCTCCTGGCAAAGGTATCCCTACCGCAAATTCCCCAGAACCATATGGAAACCCTGAAAACCCCGATTTCAGAACAAGAAATCATCCAGACAATAATGTCACTTCCCCCGGGTAAATCACCAGGCCCAGATAGTTTCCCAAACTTTTACTATAAAACATACGTGCACACTTTAGCACCACAACTACTCCAAACATACAATACGATGATCGCACAGGGGACAATGCCAGCAGACATGCTCATGGCACACATCACGACTCTCCCCAAACCAGGCAAAATTCCAAACAAAGGGCAAAACCTACGCCCTATCTCACTGTTAAATACAGATATAAAAATAATTGCTAAAATATACGCGAATAGACTAGCTAACATTCTCCCGGCGATTATCCACCAGGACCAGGTGGGGTTTATCAAGGGGAGGCAAGGCGCCGACGGAACGCGCAAAGTAATCAACCTAATACAGAGCCTACGGGGGAGGGAACATGGTGTATTTCTCTCACTTGACGCTGAAAAAGCGTTTGACAGACTGCACTGGCCCTTCCTCCTGGCGGTCCTGCAGAAATATGGATTCCCAGATATGTTTATCTCGATAGTAAAAACCCTATACAGCAACCCGACCGCTAAAGTGGTGGGAGGAGGGGTCACATCCACTCCGTTTGAGATCTCGAACGGCTCCAGGCAGGGATGCCCCCTTTCCCCGATGCTATATGTCTTGGCGCTAGAGCCACTTACGGCACTAATCAGGGAAAACCCAGACATCCATGGGGTTCAAATTGGACCGCGTGAGTACAAACTCACACTGTTCGCAGATGATATTCTGCTCACACTTACTACCCCCCATAGCTCTATCCCCGCATTTCTTCAACTACTACAGGAATATAGCAGGTGCTCCTATTATAAACTCAACCTAACCAAGACACAAGCCTTAAGCCTAAACACACCCCAACATACACCTCTAACCAAACAATACAACTTTGAGTGGAGATCAGACAATCTCACCTTCCTAGGACTGACCATCACACCCACCGCCCCAGGCCTATATAAAAGTAACTACCAAAAACTCCTAAAGGAAACCCGAACCATATTAACGAGCTGGCGGAAAAAATACCTCTCATGGACCGGCAGACTAGCTGCCATAAAAATGATAATCATCCCCAAATTCCAATACCTGTTCAGAACCTTACCTATCCACCTCCCAACCACATATCTCAAGGAAGCACAAAAACTACTCAACCAATTCACTTGGGACCATAAGATGCCAAGAGTAAGTGCTCGCATCCTTTACCAAAAAAACCCCGAAGGCGGAATGAACGCACCCAATCTTCAAACATACTATCAGGCAGCCATCCTAAATAGCATGATACTGCTTCACGGTCATAACCTACCCCCCCAATGGGTAACAATAGAAACAGACGCGGTCAAACCACATGCCCTTATGGCACTAATCTGGGCCCCTAAACAAAGCAAGCTACAACGCACTACACTACTTCCGACCACCAAGGCGACACTACGAGTGTGGGAAAAAAACAAACATATATGTTGCTCACAAACCCCACATTCTAGAGCAATGCCACTTTCTGCCATACCCTCCATAATACCGAACTTTAACCACAAAATATGGGAACGATATGGTATACATTACATACATCAACTGTACCAAGAGAACCGCCTCCTAACATTCTCAGAGGTACAAAACCTCCATGGACTTCCAACGGCAGCCCACCTCTCCCACAGGCAACTCCACTCGTGGGTAACAAAACACCAAAGCGAAGTAAAGAGTACGCCCAACGAACCTCCACTAACATGCTTTGAGAAAACCATACTCAAACTGATACCAACACAAAAAACCTTTTCAATGCTATACACCAACATATTACAGCATGATACCAAATTTAGATACCCCTTCGTCATAGCATGGGAAAAAGACCTAGGACAAACCCTCCCCGAAGCAATGTGGAGGAAAATATTCATTACCCCCAAAACCCTCACACTCAGTGCCAACCACACTGAATTATCCAGAAAAATCCTATATAGATGGTACTTAGTGCCCACACGCCTCAAACAGATGTACCCGGAGGCCTCTGACCAATGTTGGCGTTGCGCCTCGACAGCCGGATCAATGATCCACATATGGTGGACATGCCCAACACTACAACCCTATTGGTCCGCACTGACAAATCTAATCCAAGCTAGCACAGCACCCGCATACCGCAAACCCCAGACTGCCTACTACTCCACAACTACCCACCAAAACTCCCTAAAACAATCAGATACCTGATCTACCAAATCAATATAGCAGCCCTAACCCTAATTGGCAGGTCATGGAAAAAAGCCGAAGCACCAACCATGCCCAATGTACACAAATAATAAACGCCACTAAACTCTATGAAATAGCAAGCAGAACAGCTTTCTCTACCAAAGCATCCTTTTGGAAAACAGCTTGGCAAATCTGGGAGGCCTACGAAGCCACCCTGCCCCTCCCCACCACACTATAGCACACAATCCGAAAACACCACCTGAGATAACGATTATAGCGACAGACACTATGCCACCTGCACGATCACAGGTAACAATAAAAATATAACAAATTACCGGGCGACAAAATACCCCACAAAGCAAATCTTTCAAGACTCCAAACTCCTTCCTCCCTCCTACCTAACCAAAAGAAAGCAAATACTAAACAACTCGGTCTTGGACTCTCAACCCCTGTACTCCCCCCCCTTCAACCCTTACCCTTTCCCCCCAGTTGCTATACCACTGAAAACTGTTTTAAGTGAACACTATGTTAAACATGTATGTAACCCAACAAGATGACAA